GCAGAACTGGCCACATGTGTGGGTCTGCATCAAGCTGTCTGCTGTCCATTTGTCCCCATTTCACAGCCCCGTTCTGTCCAACATCCCACGCATTTTGGATTGCAGGGAGCAACTTCAACCAGCTCTAGCCAGCCCCAGCCACGATTAAGCTCATAATCATTATTCGTTTTTTTTTACAGTGGACAATCTTTGTCCATAGTGCAAGTTCCAACCGGTCCTGAGCACCACCTGGGTGTTGCTGGGAGTGGATTCCTCTGAGAGGTGGTGAGGTGGATTGCTTGGTAAGGGGTGAGTCCCAGAGGCCAGAAGCCTGGACTTGAACTTCTGTGCAGCAGGAGCTGGGCATGTTTTCATGTTCCTGGGAAGAGCAGGGAGGCCTTAACTCTAACCCAACACCCCCCCCCCCGTCCAGTCATGCAGACCCAGTCACCTCTTCCACAAGGGTGTGACCTTTTGGCTGGGTGGGAGGTCCCTGGGAAGACTGGGAACAGGGTATCGATTTTTTCAGGCTATTGGTATTGCCTGAAAGCATAGGACCCAGAGTCACAGATAAGCTGAGTCCTGGCTTCCAGCTCCTAGGGACCTCCATGCTCACAGGGGTGATGGTGAGGGGGCTTGGGCTGGTCCAGGAGCTTTTGAGAGTGGGAGGTACAGGTTGGCAGAGATGAGGCGAGGCTGAGGAGCCGTGTGACCCACTAGGAAGGCACTGAGTGAGGCACATCCTGGTTTAGCTGGGAGGAGATGAAGCTGAGGGTGTGTCAGGTGGGCATTTTGCTTACTTTGTAACTTGATATAATAATTTAAGCAAATTTACACCAAAGCTGCAGAAAAATGGTATTAAGGACTTCTTTTTGTAATGTGGGTTCTTTATCTAGATTCACCTGTTGCTCACATTTTGTCCCTTTTACTTTATTGTCTATGAATAAACCCTTTATCTCTGGAGCTGTCTGTAAGATGCCACGCCCTTAGCTGGTCCAGTCCACCATGTTCCTCAGAGCAGGTACTCTGCCAGTCTCTGAGTTGGGGGTCACTGACACCCTGATGCTCAGCCTGTGCTAACATTTCGTCAGCTGCCTGGCAGATATTGGCTCAGTGCCCCTGCTCCTGTCGGGGCCCTCCAGGCTGGGTGGAACGTCCCTCACGCTGGGTTTGTGGTTTTCTCTCATGACTGGGTTGAGTCTTGCATCTGGCCAGGGACCACAAGAGTTGACATGTCCTTCTTGGGGCCCTGCTTCTGGGGCTTGTGACATCTGTTCTCTCCTGGGATATGAGTAGAGACTGGGCCTGATGACAAAATGCCCTCAGCATTGGCAGCATCTGGGAGGTCAGCGTGCAGGCACAGTGGGTGCAGATCTGCCCCCTGCAACTTGCAGGTCTGCACTGTGGTCAGGCCCATGATCAGTGCTTGAGAAGGTACTTTTTGTTTCTATTTGAGTAAAGAAGTGCGCTTGATAAAAAAACGCAGGTATGAAAGGGAGAGAAAATGGTGAGCCTCGCTTCCGTCCCAGCCAGCCAACCAGTTCACTTCTGATTCTTGTGCACCTCAATTTTCTTCTTTAGGAAGGGAACATTTCCATTTCAAAACATTTGAGACGGTTCCTTTTAAATGGTCTCAGATTCTTCTATGGCACAGTGGTTGGGGAGTGGGGGCTGCCAGGTGCAGAACCAGCAGACCCCCCAGTGGTGGGCACTGGAGCGTCCCAGTGTATTGTAATCAGAAAGGAGGCTGCAGTGGGGTGTCACACCTGTAATCCTTGTACTTGCAGGGCTAAGGAGGGAGGATACTTGAAGTCAAGGAATTGAGGCCAGCCTGGGCAACTGCAAGACTCTGTCTCTACAATAATGAAAAAGAGAAGAGGCTGCCTCACACCTTGGTGCAGGTGTATCTGTGGAAGCATGCTTGAAGGAAGTGTGCCCTATGCTTTGGCAGGGCCTAGTTGCCACTGTGGGGCTGCCACGGGCCAAATGTGGTATAGCATCAGGTACTGTGGCTTTTACTCATTGGAGAGGTGAGAATATTACCCTGTGGTTCTAATTTTCATTTTCTCAGAAAGAGGTTGAACATTTTCACTATACTTAGAGCGACTTCTTTTTTTTTGCATTTTTTGGCAGGGGCTGGGCCAGCTCCCTACTCCTTTGAGCCATAGGTGCCGCCCTAGAGCAACTTCTATTTCCATGTGTCCTGAAATAATGGTTCACATCCTTTGCCTGGTTTTCTCCTGGAATCTTTTTCTGATTTATTGACTCTTTTTTAAAAAAAAAGTAGAGACAGAGTCTCACTTTATTACCCTTGGTAGAGTGCCGTGGTGTCACACAGCTCACAGTAACCTCCAACTTCTGGGCTTAGGCAAGTCTCTTGTCTCAACCTCCCGAGTAGTTGGGACTACAGGCACCCGCCACAATGCCCAGCTATTTTTTTGGTTGCAGTTTAGCCAGGGCTGGGTTTGAATCCGCCACGCTCGGTACTCGTGGGTACCTGTCAGTGCCCTACTCACTGAGCCACAGGCGCCGCTCTAAATTATTGGCTGTTTAAGATAATAATATAGGCTCAGCACCTGTGGCTCAAGTGGCTAAGGCGCCAGCCACATACACCTAAGGTGGTGGGTTCAAATCCCCAGCCTGGGCCCGCCAAACAACAATGATGGCTGCAACCAAAAAATGGCCGGGCGTTGTGGCTGGCACCTGTAGTCCCAGCTACTTGGGAGGCTGAGGCAGGAGACTCGCTTGAGCCCAGGAGTTGGAGGTTGCTGTGAGCTGTGATGCCATGGAACTCTACCCAGGGGGATAGCTTGAGGCTCCATCTAAAACAAAAAAAAAGATAGTAATATATATTGAAGAAATTAGACTTTTAGCTGTGATATGAGCTGCAGTTATTTTTATTTTCAGTTGGTATTTGGCTTTTGACTCTAATAATGATGGGGTTTCTTTTCCCCATGTACACTTGCTGTTTGAATGTATCACAGGGGTACTGGCAGATGTCTAATAACTAGTTTTCTAAGGAGCATAAAACATGTGTTTGGTTGGCCTGTGTCATGTGTGCCCCTCGTGGCCAAGCCAGGTGCACCCAGTCCTGGAGCTCTGAGCAGGGAGGAGCCCTCCCAGCACACCCCTGCAGCTGCCTGGTGTCCCACTGAGAAAGGCCTTTGCCATTCCAAGATTTCTTTTTTTCTTTTTCTTTTGTTGCAGTTTTTGGCCAGTTTGAACCCACCACCTCTGGTATATGGGGCTGACACTCTACTCCTTGAGCCACAGGCACCGCCATAATCCAAGATTTCTAATAAGCAGACATATTTTACCTTGTTTCTTTTAGGACCTCTGTGGTTGATCATTTTCCTCAGTAAGTCTTCCATCCATCCAATATTTAATTTTGGCGAGACACTGGGTAAAGGCTTTCCTCCCATTTTTGTTTCAAGATGCTAAGAAGTTCTAACAAAATGTGTTGAGTGAGATCTTTCCCCGAGGTCTGAAACATGTCACACAGGTGGGACTCCTGTGTGCATTCCAGTCTATTTCCAGGCTCTCTGCTCTGCCCTGGCCCTGCTCCTCCTTGTGTGCCCACACCATTTCTACGGCTTTGCAATGGGTTTAGTGTTCTGTAGTGCCAGTGTGCTGCATGACGCCTTCCAAATAATCTTTTCGCTTGCTTATGTCAAATTTATAGCCTTCACAGCTTGCTTATGTCAAATGCACTTTACAGCCTTTGACCACCCCATCCTCCAGTTCCTCTTAGTATTTTTACTGAGATTGTATTAACTTCATAATTCTTTTTTTTTTAATTTTTTTGAGACAGAGTCTCACTATGGCACTCTTGATAGAGTGCTATGGCGTCACAGCTCACAGCAACCTTAAACTCTAGTGATTCTCTTGCCTCAGCCTCCCAAGTAGCTGGGACTACAGGTGCCCGCCACAGCATCTGGCTATTTTTGTTGTTGCAGTTGCAGTTGTCATTGTTGTTTGGCTGGCTTGGGTTGGATTCAAACCCACTAGCCTCAGTGCATGTGGCTGACACTGTAACCACTGTGCTATGGGCACCGAGCCAAATTCATAGATAATTTAGGAGACGATGACATCTCTGTGGTGTGATGTCTCCTGGAGAGTGCAGCACCCACACCATGCTAACTAGCTTCCTGTGTGTCTCTCAGGGACATTTCAAAGCTGTGTATTTCTAAAGTTATCCCTGGGTCTTTTGTTGTCACTATTTTTTATGGACTCTCTTCCTCCATTAGATATCCACACTTCATTTATGCAGAGGCTCTTGGTGTAATTATTAATGGCACACCCAGCCATTAACTGAGACAGGCCCACTGTGACCCTTTCCGACAGGGTGCCAGGCTGGTTGTTGCAGGGAGATGTCACTAGTAATGACTATTGTTGATAAACACTTGTTATCTCACAGTTGGTAACAGCATAGGTGGGTGGTCCAGACTGGGGGTCTCCATGGGCTTGCTGGAGGGGTGTTCCCAGAGTCAGGAACAGAGCCACCAGCAGGTGGGATCTGGGCTTTGTGGCCAGCCTGTGCTCAGCCTGCTCAGCCTTGGTGGGTCTCTACTTTTCAGGGCTGACAGTGGCCTGTCCCAGAGAGGGTGGGGGCCTGCCACGGACCAGGAGTCTTCTGCCTGCTGGTGGGGAGGAGGTTCAGGCACAATCCCAACTCTCCAGTGCGTGTTTGAAGAAGGTGGATGTGATCCCGGAGGCTTCTCCCCGCCACCCCCCTCCCCCAGCCTTCCACCCAACTCTCCAGGGATGGGGTGCCCCGCAGGGAACCTCTCAACCCCCCCAGGGGATCAGCCCAGGGTTTTGTTTCCCTGCATTTCCCGAGGCTCAGGGTAGCCAGGGGCTGGGCCGGCCAGGACCTGGGGGTATCACCACCATGCCACAGGGGAAAGGTGGGGGAGGGGGGCACTCTCCTTTGGGGGCGGGGCGGGCAGGGAGGGGTGGGGGCAGTGAGGTAATTTCCGCGGTCGGGCGTCAGAGGCTGAGTTGCTCAGGGCAGAAACGAAAGTGATCCCGAAAGTCATCTCAGGGCGGGTGGGACGCAGCCGAATGGGACAGCATCAGCAGAGGGTGAGCGCGCCCGGGGCTCCGGGGCTGGGCTGGGGCTCCTTGCAGAGGGTGGGTACTGAGGGCTGGGACCCGGGGGCAACGTGAGTTCCACACACCTGGCCCGGGTACCCCCGGTCCCAGTCCCAGCCCCAGCCAAGCGGCAACACAGCCCTGGGTGTCCCAGCACCTTCCCTTAGCTTTGCTGACCCTCTGGCTGTGGAATTGTAAGTTTCCTTCTCAGTGGCCGGTTCTCATACCAGGGCGGCCTCTGGGTACATCCCCTGAAGTTTCCCATGAAAGTTCCCTTTGGACCCAGCCAGCTGCCTGTGGGGAGCTGTGCTCTCTCCGTTTCAGCTGGGGTGGGGACCCCGATTCTTGCTTCTCCCTTGAACCTCTAGTGGGAGCTCTGTACACACCCCTGCCTGAGACCACCCACTGCTCAAGTCCAGGTGTGGGGGGGCCTCTGTTCCTGGGGGCCAGATGCCGCTTACAGAGAAAGGGGTACCGAGGCTTTGGAAGTCTGGGACTGGGAACCTGAGGGACAGTGTATGCAGGACTCTGGGGGCTGGTTCAGGGAGGGACCTCTGGAAGGTCGCTGGGGGCCCAGGATGCTGCCTTCCTCCACAGCACAGGCCTGGAGACCCTTCAGAAGAGGGGTGGGGCTGAGTTTCGTCCAGTGGGCCCTGACTTCCTGGACAAGCAAGGCTGCTGCCTGACAGCTATTCCCTTGGATGTCGGGTTGGGCAAGGGAGGGTTGTGTATCTCATCTTCCTGTGGTTGGGTCCCTCCAGCCTCAGCCTGGCCTTCCTCTCCTGTCCTAGACTTCACACCTCTGGCCCCAGTCCCAGTGGACCAGCTCAGCTCAGGAGCCTCAAACCATACTCTGAAGACCTAGGCCAGTGTCAGAAATGGAGGCCCCAAGGTCCCGTCCACTACTTGACAGCCCCACAGCCACCAAGGTGCCGTCCCTGGCCAAGCTGTGCGCCCGTCTGGACCTGTACCTCGGCTGCTCCCGCTGCACTCAGCGTCTCAACGAGAGCACGTACATCCTGCGTGGGGTGGAGCACAGCTGCCCCCGTGAGATCCTGCTGGCCCGCTTCAAGCAGGCCACCAAAAGCAAGGTCTGGCGCAGAGTGGGCCGCAGGCCCAGCTTCCCGAGGCCTTCCCGCTATGACGTCTGTCGTTACTACAGCCCAGGGCTAGGCTGCCGGCGCCACCGGAACCAGTGCACCTTTGCCCAAAGCCGTGAGGAGGCACTGGTCTGGACCTTCGAGAGGGAGCACAATCTCCAGCGCATGTGGCTGAAGGCTGCTGTGCAGGGCCAGGGCAATCGGGCCCAGGGAGGGCCAGATGGGTCAGACAGTGTGGCTGCTGCAATCCGAGTTGAATTTGGTGGCCACTTTGAGCTGCTCTGCTCCCTCTGCTTCCGGTGCAGACCCCAGCGCATCTGCCCAGTGGACTCTCAGGGCCGGTGCCCCGAGCACGGAGCCTGCCCCTCACTCCTGAGCCATTTAAGCATCGAGGGTTGCCGCAAGCAACAGTACGTGGAGGTGCGGCCACAGCCCCAGTATCGTCAGCCACTGGCCTACTGCATGTTTGTGGGGCGTGGGCGGCCATGCCGGCATGGGGCATCCCGCTGTCAGTACGCACACAGTGATGTGGAGATGGCTGTGTGGGAGGCCGAGCAGCGGCTTGGCCTCCGGAGGGAAGACCTGCTCACTCCTCCCAGCCAGGGGTGCACAGCCCAGCGCAGCCAGCCCCCTGGGGTCCAGCTATACTGTCACGCTTGCCTGGTCACATGCCACTCTCAGGAGGCTTTTGAGAACCACTGCTTCTCCTGGGAGCATGCACAGATGGTAGCCTCCAACCCAGCCATGCCCTGGAAGTACCGCTCCCCGCCCATGGGGCTTTCCAAGTTCGAGCTCTGCCCAAAGTAAGGATGCTTGGGGTGGGAATTTAAGGTGGGGGGTGGTGGTAAGCCACCAAGGCCAGAGCCAGGGACTTCCAGGTTCACTGGGCCTAGTGCCTTGCTGCCACTTGCTGTCCCCTCTACATGACAAGCTGTCACTGCAGGAGCCTGCAAGGATCTGAGTAAAGGTCTGTTTCTGGGCACTGCTCTAGCCAGGCCTTGTCTTGGGAACATGGGAGTGGCTAGGACAGAGGCCCACCCTCCGGCCTGGAGTCTATTTCTGCTCTCCTGCCCAGGCTAATATTGAGCCAAAGTGGGGGGTGGGGAGGAGTCCCAGCCTTTGAGCCTGACGTGGTGGCTGCACCTGTGTATGGCCCTGCTGACCTGTCTGTCCCCAGGCCCAACCTCTGTGTGTACGGGGATGTCTGCACCAAGGCACACTCAGCACAGGAGCTGCAGGAGTGGGTCCAGCGGGTGCAGGCTACAAAGCTGCGGGAACAGGCAGCCTGGAGGGATGGGCTGATGTCCTACCGGGCACGGCTGCTGGCTGAGTGCCAAGACAGCAATGGAGAGGCCCTGGTGGTAAGTGGGACCCTCTGGGTAGGTGTGGGACAGGGTCCAGGGCAGCCCTACTTAAGGCCAGGCTTCCCTGTGCAGCTGGCTGAGACTGTCGAGGGTGTGTCCATCACCTGCAACCAGCCCCTGGTGCATCAGGCCCAGGACAAGAAGATCCACCATAGCTGGACGTTTGCCATCCACTCCAAGGTGAGAGGTCAACACAGCTCCTGCAGTCTTGGGACAGCAGGATATCTGTCCCAGCTCCGGGTGGAGTGGGAGGTACTGAGAGTCTGGGTTCTGGGGCTGGTACTGAGGCCCTGCCTCTCAGTGTCTGTGTGGCTTAGAGCAGGTCCCTCAGCCTCTCTGCCTCAGTTTCCTCACCTACACACAGGGCGACAGTGAAGCGTGCATGGGGTTCACTGTGTCTGTGCCTCAGGCAGGTCTGTGGCCTGGCCTCCATTCTGCAGAGCCCTGGCTTCTCATGGGTGCTGGGGCCCCTCACCCTCACTGTCTCCCCAGGAACCCCTATTGCACGTGGCCCTGCTCAAGCAGGAGCCGGGAGTGGACTTCTCCCTGCTGGCCCCCCACCTCCCACCAGGCCAACTCTATGCACAGGGTGAGCGCTTCCAAGAGCCCACATCCCCAGCCGACTTCCGGGTGGAAGTGTGCGTGCAGACAGCCTCCTTTGGCACCTTTGAGCAGTGGGTGGTCTTTGACTTTGGCCACCGGCCAGTGCTGCTCCGAAAGCTGGGGCTGCAGCTGGGCCAGGTGCACTGCTCAGGACTTGGGGGGATGCTGGCTCCTGGCCACTCCGAGGAGCTGGAGCCCTGGCATTCAGGTAACCGACATGTAGTACCTGGTGTGGAGCGGACAGCCGAGCAGGTAGCCTTGATGGCCAAGTACAAGGTGCCCAGCCTGGCCCTGGACGGCACACATAGCAGCCCTGCCTCAGATCCCGTGTCTCCTATCAACTACCGGCAGAGGATACACCAGTTTCTCTACGAGGAGGAGGCGGCACGGCAGCAGCTGGTGGCCAAGTGAGTGGGGCTGGCAGGTGGCGGGAAGGCAAGAGAGGTGAAGCGGCTGGGAATCTGGTGTCTGTGAATCTGTGGGCTGATCCAGGCGCCTGCTAGGTTGTCGGTCCAAGCCCGGGTGTCCCTGAAGACAGCACTGCAGACACCAGCCCTGGGCATGCTCTTCGCGCCACCTGGAGCTCTCTACGCCGAGGTGCCGATCCCGTCCTCCCTGACACCAGACACAGAGCAGGGCTCCCTGTTGGGCCGGGCGGTCAGAACAGCCCTTGTGGCCCCTGTGCCTGCGCCTAACAGCACAGTGTTCGAGGTGCAGCTGGAGCCACGGGCTAGCTCAGAGCAGGCGCTGTGCCTGCTGCTGCCTGCCCGCTGCTGTGCTGCCCTAGAGCTGAGGTCCGAGGCCAGCCCCATCCTGGAGGTGCAGTTCCAGATCGACCGGCTGACCTTCTGCCTCTGGCACCAGGCAGTGGATGCGCTGCCTGAGGAGCGTCTGGTGGTGCCCGACTTGCCTTCCTGTGTCCTGCCCCGCCCTCTGCCTGCCCCCTCCTCAGTTCGTGGCAACTGCAAGCAAAAGCTGGCCATGGCACTCATTGCAGGCAGAGGCCCAGTGGATGGGAGGCCTGTGCCCCCGCTGCTCATCTACGGCCCTTTTGGCACCGGCAAGACCTACACACTGGCCATGGCCTCCCTGGAGGTCATCCGGCAGCCATACACCAAAGTGCTCATCTGCACACACACCAACAGGTATGCCACGGCAACCCACTTCACCAGCAGATGCCCCTCAATGGCCTCTCCACACTGGGCACAGCTCATTGTTTCCACAGGGGTCAGCCCTGGGCTTGACTAGGCCTGGACAGAGGAGAGAGTCATGGGCAGGGGTGTGGCTTGGCATTTACAGGGTCAAGGCTTGTTTTTGATATTTACAAAAACAGATTTTTGTCCCAATCGTTCAGTTTCCTTTGGCCAATGTGGTTTCAGATGCCCCAGTCTTCACTGGGTCTTCTCCTCCCTGTCTGGGTAGAAGAGCCCAGGACAGTGGCCAGGTGCCCTGGACTGGTCCCTAGGCTGACCTTCCCTTGTTACTCCATCTGTGTATCTGTCAGGGGCCAGACAGTGTCTGTCTGCCCAGTCAGAGTACCTGGCACCAACATCTCAGTAGATAGCCCTAAGGCCCAGAGAGGCCCACACACCCTCCACCTGGTCCCTTTCCCACAGTGCGGCTGACATCTACGTCCGAGAGTACTTCCACAACTTTGTCAGCAGTGGCCATGCTGAGGCGGCTCCACTCCGGGTGATGTACACAGACCGCCCCCCCAGCCAGACAGATGCCACCACACTGCGATATTGCTGCCTGAGTGTGGACCACCGGGCCTTCCGCCCACCCACAGACGCAGAACTGGTGCAGCACCGCGTGGTGGTCTCCACCACCTCCCAGGCCCGTGAGCTCCGGGTGCCCTCTGGCTTCTTCTCACACATCCTCATTGACGAGGCTGCCCAGATGCTGGAGTGCGAGGCTCTCACGCCGCTGGCTTATGCCTCACCTAGCACTCGTGTGGTGCTGGCCGGGGACCACATGCAGGTCACGCCCAGGCTGTTCAGCGTGGCCAGGGCACAGTCAGCTGAACACACACTGCTGTACCGCCTCTTCCTGCACTACCAGCAGGAGACACACGAGCTGGCCAAGCAGAGCCGCGTCATCTTCCATGAGAACTACCGCTCTACTCAGGCCATCGTCAGCTTTGTGTCCCGTCACTTCTACCTGGCTAAGGGTATCTGTGCCAGTGGCAGTGTTCCACGCCACCCCCGACACTACCCTCTCTCCTTTTGCCATGTGGTGGGCAGACCTGAGCGAGACTTGTCGATGACATCCTGGTTGAACCTGGCTGAGATCATCCAGGTCGTGGAGAAGGTGCAGGAGGTCTGGGACACCTGGCCCTGCTGCTGGGGCAGCCGGGAGCAGAGATACATCTGTGCTGTCTCCCACGGTGCCCAGGTGAGCCAGGCCTGCTGGGACAGCCTCCACGTCCAGAGGGAGGGTAGACACCTGCTGACCCCAGCCCCTGTTGTCTCTAGGTCAGTGCACTGAGGCAGGAGCTGCGAAGGAGGAGCCTGGGTGAGGTGTCTGTGGGCAGCTTTGAGATCCTGCCAGGTGGGTGGCTGGCCAGGTTGGGGCTGTGTGGGTCACCTTGGTTTCAGCCCCAGTTCCCTGGCCCCTCCTGCCACCCTGCCTGATTCGAGTCCCCTTGCAGGGCGGGAGTTCCGGGTTGTCGTTCTGAGCACTGTCCACAATTCTGACACCCTGCTTGGACCGGGGGCACCAGCCGCGGAGTTCTTCACAGATGCCCGTGTGCTCAACACCGTTATGACCCGTGCCCAGTCCCAGCTGGTGGCCGTGGGCGATGCCGTGGCCCTCTGCTCCTTTGGTACCTGCAGCAAGCTCTGGAAGAGCTTCATCCGTGAGTGTGTGGCACAGCACAGTGTCTGCCCCAAGGGCCTGTCACTGGAGCAGATCGAGCAGAGTGTGGCCCAGAGGCAGCACCTGGCCCTCCAAGCAGAGGGGGCTGGGGCTGCTGCACCCAGCAAGGCTGTCCTAGAGGGATCCACGAGGGGCCTGGCCATGAAGTGCATGGCTGCCACCATGGCAAAGACAAAGTCAGGGGACAAGGTGTCATCTGGCATCTCGGCCTCAGGGAGTCCAGCTACAGAGAAGGTAGCCACAGTGCGGACAGAAGTCAACACAGCAACTCCAGCAGGAAACTCACTGAGGGAGGATGCAGCACCAGGGATGGCGGTAGCAGGAGCGACCACCACAGAGGGCACGGAGTTTGAGGGCCCTGAGGACTCTGAGTCTGACTTCTGGCCTTGTGATGGGGAGCTCAATGCCGATGACCCTGTCCTGCAGGAGCTTCTGGATGAGAGCCGGAAGGTGATGGTGACTGTCAGGGAGGATGGGCTGCTGGACACCATGGCCAGGCCTGAGTGCCCGCGCCAGGACCAGCAGTATGTGAACCTGCCCTCAGCCACACTGCGCCAGCTGCTGGGCAGAAAGCCGGAGCTATACCAGCGTTGCATCTTTGCTCAGGAGACCTTTGAGTGTGGATCGGCCGTCCCTCTGGACCCTCTGGATGAGGTGTCTCCCAGCCCCATCCAGATCCGGGGCCGCCGGAACTGTGGTATGGCCTTCACTGGGGATGAGGTGCTGGTTCAGGTCTTTCCCAGGGCCACTAATGACAGAGGCCTTGTGGGGCGGCCACAGGGTTGTGTGGTGGGCGTGCTGAAGAGGAGGCAGCAGGAGCTGGCGTTTGTATGCCGTGTGGACGAGTGGGACCCCCGCATCATGGTCCCCATCAATGGCTCTGTGACCAAGATCTTTGTGGCTGAGCTGAAGGACCCACTGTACGTGCCTATCCACCGCCTGCGGCAGGGACAGGTGCAGCGTGTGGGCCAGGAGAGCCTCCCACTTGAGGCCCGGCGAGGCCGGCTCTTCTGGGTCCGCATCGTCTTGTGGCGACCACGCTTCTACTACCCGCTGGGCATTATCCTGGAGGTGCTGCCTGCGGCCAGCACCTGGGAGCATGGTCTCCGGGTCCTTGACCTGGAGCATGGCCTGAGGCTGCCCCCAGTGGACCCAGCCCTGGTCACCAAGATGCTGCAGAAATACCGTGCAGAGCTTGGCCACAGTGTTGGCCGCCGGGAGGACTGCCGCAGCCTCCTGACCTTCACAGTGGACCCCCAGGGTGCCTGCAACCTTGATGATGCCCTCAGTGTCCGGGACCTGGGCCCCAGATATGAGGTAGTCGTACACATCACTGACGTGGCCAGCGTCTTGCCTAGGGATGGACCACTGGATGTGAAGGCCCGGAGACAGGGCATGGCTTTCTACGCCCCTGGCCGGGAGCCAACACCTATGTTGCCCACCAGCCTCTGCCATGCGCTCAGCCTCCTGCAGGGCCAGGACCGCCTCGCCATCTCACTCTTCCTCACGGTAGAGAAGGGCAGCGACCAGCTCAAGAGCCTGCGTTTTACACAGTCTGTGGTCTGCTCTGACCGCCAGCTGTGCTATGAGGAGGCCGAGCAGGTGATCAGGGAGCACCCAGGGGCTGGCCACGAGCTGCCAACCCACTTGGACTCCCTGGACGCCTGCGTGGTGGCCGCGTGCCACTTCTCTCGCGTGCTGCGCCGGCGCCGCCTGCAGGCCGACTGCCTCTACGAGCAGCTGGATGAGGACCATGCCCTGGGCTTCCGTGCAGCCCACCTCATGGTCAAGGAATACATGATCCAGTTCAACCACCTGGTGGCGGAATACCTGGTGGGCAGTCAGCACACACACACTCTCACACCTCTGCGGTGGCAGCCTGCGCCGAGCATCCAGCAGCTGAAGGCTGTTTGCGAGGAGCATGGGCACTTGGTGCCCCTTTCCCTGCACCTGTCCCAGCATCTACAGAGCAGCGGCCGTACCTCCCTGCAGTTGCGCCTCCTGGGTGCTGTGTGGAAGCAGCTACAGCATGCTGCCCGCAACCGGGACTACGAACAAGTGGTCGACTTGATCACCACGGATGATGTGCACCCTTCACTGGCACCTGCAGGCCGTGACTTGCGAAAGGCCCTGGGCCGCTCAGTCTTCGGCCGCTCCAGCCAGGGAACACGGCAGCGGGCTGGCCACTACTCGCTGCAGGTAGACTGGTACACCTGGGCCACCTCACCCCTCCGCAGGTACCTGGACGTGGTGCTGCAGAGGCAGATCCTGCGGGCACTGGGCAGCGGAGGTGCCAAGTACTCCGCCAGGGACATTGACTGGCTCTGCCTAGACTTCGCCCGGCAGCACGCACATGCCCAGGGCTACCAGCGGCGCGCCTGCAGCCTGTACCTGGCTGCACAGCTCAAGGCCCAGCCCTGCAACAAGCTGGGCTTTGTGGTGGATGTGGAGTCAGGCACCCGTTGCTTCAAGCTGCTCTTCCCCACCCACCAGGAGACACTGCCTGACCCCTGCCCCGTCCACTATCGCTCCCTGCAGCTAGCTGAGCCCCCCCAGGCCCTGGTGGGCCAGCCAGGCCTGCGGCTGGTCTGGCGCTGCCGTGTCTACTCTGTACAGGGGCCCAAGATGTCCTCGCCAGCGCCCGGCATCTTGTGTGACCCTCATACCAGGACCATCAGTGCCACCGTGTGGAAGCAGCTACTGGCACTGGTGAAGCAGAGGCACTGGCCCGAGGCAGCTGCACTTGTCCAGGAGCAGGGGGAGAGGGTGACCCAGGGGCAGGAGCTTGGGCGAGTGCAGCGGAGTCACTGTGGCCACTTTCTGGAGGTGACCCGGGAGCTGCGCAGTGGTGACGCACTGCAGGTGCAACTCGCCGCCAGCATGCAGCGTGGCTTCCTGGCACCCTCCATGCAGCTGTGGACCTTGACACCTGGCCTCAGCCTCTGCCTGGAGCATGTGGAGTGGCCCGGGGACTGCTTCTCAGGCCATGCACACCAGGCGCCTCAGGAACACTACCAAGATGTGGAGGAGTACACTCGTGTGTGGCAGCCGTTCTGTGCCCTGGAGTCAGTCACCAATGCAGTTGCTGAGAACACCTCTATCACGCTGCAGCACTTGAGGATCTCATGGGACAAGGAGCTGATGCTGCGGGGGCAGCTGCAGGGCACCTTCCACCTGGAGGCCACCTTCCTCCGTGAGAGCTGCCTAGATATGGACCTTGGCTGCAGCTACCTCTGCATCCGGCTCGAAGGGCTAACCACCCCTTCTGTCCCGACTGCCCACCCTATGCCCCCAGCCCCCGGGCCTAGCACCCGTGGCCCTCTCCTGAGCATGGACCCCGGCACGTACACCTGGGTGGCCCACGCTCTGACCAAGGACGGGGACCAGGAAGGCCGGGCAGACAGACAGGAGGCCCCCAGGCAGGTGCAATTCTTCGTCCAACACATGTCCATGGAGAAGGTTCCAGAAGATGTATTGAGGCCGGGAACCCAGTTTACCGTGGAGGTGCTGCCCAAGCAGCTTCCCGATCTGTAAGTGGCTCTCATGTCAGGGGCTGGTGGGCAGGGCAGGGAGGATGCCCTGGGCTCCCCTGTCCTGGGAGGAGTGAGCTATGGGGCAGTGGCCCTTCCCTGAAACAGCTGTGCAATTTCCAATGTCTGTCTTCACTCCCAGCCGCAAGGAAGAAGCTGTGCGTGGGCTGAAAAAGGCGTCCCCTCTGGTCATCAGCATCGCCCTTGGGCAGCCGGTCCCAGAGACCTGCCACTCTTCAGGCCAGCAGCCCCTCCCCAGAGGTAGGCCCATCCACTTCTGCCTGCCCCTCGCCTGGCCCCTCGCCTGGCCCCATCCCACACCAGTGCTTAGGGCAGCCTACCCCTCTGCCACCTCTTCCAGGGGCCACCAGCAGGCTCCTGACACGACAGACCTTTGACATCCCCGGAGGCTGCCACAAGCTGAACCCCAGCCAGAATGGGGCTGTCAGGGAGGCCCTGGAGAAGCCATTCACAGTCATCCAGGGCCCACCAGGTGAGGCTGTGTAGGGTGCTATGGGCTGCCTGGCCTGCCATCAAGGGCACTGGGCTGTCTGTGCTCACTGCTCTCTGGTGGCAGGTACGGGGAAGACAGTTGTGGGCCTCCACATCATCTACTGGTTCCACAAGTCCAACCAGGAGGAGAGACAGCCCAGCGGCACCCCTGGTGGGGAGAACGGGCCCCGGGACCCCTGCATCCTATACTGTGGCCCCTCCAACAAGTCGGTGGATGTGCTGGCAGGTGTGCAGGGGGTGCCGTGGGCTCGGGTGCTGGGTTTAGGCTTGGTACTCAGCCCCCAGTGCTCAGCTCCCAACTTCCTCAGGACTGCTTCTGAGAAGGGCGGAGCTAAAGCCTCTCCGTGTGTATGGTGAGCAGGCTGAGGCCAGCGAATTCCCAGTGCCAGGTGTAGGCAACAATGGCCTGCTCAAGAAGACCCCTCGGGATGGGAGGCCGAACCCGGCTCTCAGGTGTGGCTGCCTGTGTCTGGCCTGGGGGGGAGGGGCTGGCCGTCCAGGTGGCCCTGCTATATGGTTGGAGCTCACTGACCTGTACCCCAGGAGCATCACCCTGCACCACCGGATCCGACAGGCTTCTAACCCACATGCAACAGAGATCAAGGCCTTTGATGCCCGGGTGCAGAAAGGGGAGGAGTTCTCCAGCGAGGACCTCCTCTTGTGAGTGCTGGGGCTGGGGTGGGGATAGGGCCAGGGTAGGGGCTGCCTGCAAGCATGGGCCCCCCGCTGGCTGAAACTAGGAGTGTTCACACTGCAGGTACAGAACCATCTTGGGGAAGGCCCGGAAATTCGAGCTGGAACGGCACATTGTCATTCTCTGTACATGCTCCTGTGCAGCCTCCCCCAGCCTCCGGAAGCTGGACGTCCGGCAGGTCCTGGTTGATGAGGCAGGCATGGCCACCGAGCCTGAGACCCTCATCCCTCTGGTACACTTCCCACAGGCTGAGAAGGTGAGGGCACTGGGCCAGGGGTGGACTGGTGTCCCGGAACATCCTCCTGCCTGGCACTGTGTGTGCAGAGGTGAGTGGTGATGGCAGGTGTCAGGGCTGTGGCTGCCTGTTGCCCAGGTGGTTCTCCTTGGGGACCACAAGCAGCTGCGTCCTGTGGTCAAGAACGAACAGCTACAGCGCCTGGGGCTGGACCAGTCCCTCTTCGAGCGATATCATGGGGACGCCTACATGCTGGATACACAGTACCGCATGGTGAGCCCAGGGCAGCCCCCGCCACAGTCCTGGGAAAGACAGGGTGGGCCCCTCATCTGGTGCCTTCTTGCCCCCGCAGCATGAGGGCATCTGTGCCTTCCCCTCCATGGAGTTCTATAAGGGAAAGCTGAAGACCGGGGCAGGCCTGAGGCGGCCATCCAGTATCCTGGGCCATGCCAACAAGGAGAGCTGCCCTGTCATCTTTGGCTACATGCAGGGTCAGGAGCAAAGCCTGCTGGTGTCCACTGATGAGGGGAATGAAAGCTCCAAGGCCAACCTGAAGGAGGTGGCAGTGGTGGTGAGTGTCAGTGAGACACTTCTTGGGGTCAGGATTGGGGCTTCAGAGGGCACAGAGGAGGGGGAGGGGGGCTTCCTAGAGGAGGATGCAGGAGTGGTGTCAGAGAGATCCTTGCTGGTGCCCTGTGTGTCAGGCGGGCTTCTTAGAGAGGGCAAGGAGCTTCAGGAACAAGTGAGGCTCCCATGCCCAGGGCAGGAGAGGCAGCAGGGTCCATCTTCCTCCCCCCAGGTCCACATTGCCAAGCAGCTAACCCTGGGGAGGACGGTGGAGCCCAAAGACATTGCCATCCTCACTCCCTACAATGCACAGGCCTCGGAAATCCGCAAGGGCCTCCTGAAGGAGGGTGTGACCGGAGTGACTGTGTCTTCCATCACCAAGAGCCAGGGTGAGGCTGGCAGGGACAGGGCTCACATGGGTGCGGGGGACACAGTGGCAAGGCCTCACCTTTCCACCCCCTAGGGAGTGAGTGGCGCTACGTGCTTGTGAGCACCGTCCGCACTTGTGCCCAGAGTGACCTGGACCAGCAGCCAACTAAGGGCTGGCTCAGGAAGTTTCTGGGATTCGTCGTGGACCCCAACCAAGTAAATGTGGCTATCACTCGGGCCCAGGAGGGGCTCTGCCTGATTGGTGAGGCTGGGGCTGGCTTCTCCCTGGTGGGTGTGGGCTGGAGGCTGGAGAAGGCCTGGAGGCACTTAAAGAGCCACCTTTGACCCTCCCTGCAGGAGACCATCTCCTCCTGCGCTGTTGCCCTCTCTGGAAGCACCTCTTGGACTTCTGCGAGGCCCAACAGAGCCTGGTGCCAGCCAACCATGTGCAGGTCCGGAGGAGGCCGATGGTGCCTTCCTGAGGAGCCACCAGACTCAAGGTGCCAGGATGGGGAGGGGCTGTCCCAGCCACCTCTGCTGTTGGCCAGGGGCCCACTAGGCAGATCCCTACATGCCTCAGTGGCTACCAACTGGGCCTGTGCTGTGCAACAAGGACCACATGGAGTTATGGCCTCTTGGGGGAAAGCAGGCTGAGCATGACCTGCCTGAAGACTATGAACTTGGGAGAAAGGAAAAATGCTTAGAGTCCATCCCCTTCCTGCTGTGCTGCTGTTCTGGGTTCATCTGAGGACTGGGACATTTTGGAGCCAGGAGGGGAACTGCATGGAGGCTATTCTTTGATCTTTGGAGGCCACCTGCAGCCACACTGGGTACCATCCTTGGTGTTGGGCTTAATTCTCTATTTTTGAACAAAGTAAAGCCAGTGTCTATTTTACTGGGACAGGGACCTCAGTCCAAACTTAGTGAAGGGAGGTCCATCTGACTCTGGGACCCTGGCCCCTCAGGGGCTGCTCACCAGGGCAGAAGGGCAGACCTTAGCCTCACCTGGACCCCCAAAATGTGAAGAGCTGCTGGGCAGTGCTCTGTGGGGCTACGTGGGGGTGGGAGTTGCCTGGCGGCATTGGGCTTATGCCTCTGCCTGAGCTATGCTTTCCAGGCTGTCTCTTCTCAGACTCTGTATTCTGTGACTGAGTGTTAACTTTATTACAAAGACCACTTGGGAAGCTTTTCTCACTTTTGCTGTTTCAAGATATGGCTGGAGGGACAGAGAGGAGGCCTTCATCTCACTTGGGGACCAGCCATAGAATACTGGTCTTGGGAGCATGTGGGGAAGCACCCTGTTTCATGACTAATGTCTGCGGCTATGGAGGCTGAGGGGTGTCTGCCAGGATTACAGGAGCTGGGGGCCAGCCTAATGCCTAGTGTTCCCAGGGACCACATGTCCCTCCAGGCCAACTCAGGATTCACGTCTTTTCAGCTTGTGGTTTGTTGGTGGCTGGGTCCCTAGTCTCTCCCAGAGCATGGGCTGCTACTGGGAACGCAAGACACTCTGGCGTCCTGGGATCCTGCATAGAGGTCAGATGCAGAGGGGCTATAGAGTCTCTGTAGCAAAGAGGGGTCTCCATGAGCCTCTGTGTCCCAGGCATTGCAAAGAGGGGCAAAGAGTGCTGCCTTGGAGAGCACTGTGTTCTAGGGCAGCCATTATGCAGAGAAATGCTTGGCAGAGGGCATGAGGCTTTTGAGGTGGGGGAAAGAGAGGGCTTCTAGGAGGAAGGGGCATTAGTAACAACAGCAGAGGATGGTGTGGGGCAGTGGTTTTAGGTTTGTGTCAGAGCGCAAGGTGGTGCGCTCCCCTGGCCGCCCCTCTGTGGAGTCAGTGTGACACACAGGCCATTTCTCAGGAGCAGGAGGACGCTGCCCCAGGCCCCTGGGATGGGCCTATCTTGAAGACCCTCCCCACAGCCACATGACACCACAGAGTAGGAGGCTGTCTCAATGCCCCTAGAAGGGAGGCAGCCTACAGCCATGTGATATACACCCACCATAGCTCAGTGGGAGCTGGGTGTTTCTTACCAAAGCACCACTCTGGTGGTGATTCCCTGACGGAGATTCCCTGTCTAGCTGCCCTAAGCCAGCCAGACCTGGTCATCTCAGAGCACATCTGTCCTGGTGACTGCTGTGGTGGTGTGGTGAGCAGGAAGCTTGTGTTGGTGTGCACACCAGCAAGCTAGATGGGGTCCTGGGGCACAAGCTGCTGGCCCTGCTGGGGGTCACATTACCAGGCTGGTGGTTCTCCAGGCAACCAAGGGGCTGGGTCATGGCGGGGTGTGTGTGTGTGTGCGCGCGTCAAGGGCTAGAGGGATGCCCACTGGAAAGCAGCCATAGCATGGCCAGTAGGACCACCTGGGGAGATGAGGGTGTCCATGAACTTCAGCTTTTCTTGGGGACAAGGTGACTTTTATCCTTTATTTTAAAAATAAAATATTCCCTTGCTGAGGCCTAGGCCTCAGGCACCCTGGCTCCAAGGAGGCTTGCCCCCACACAGGACTTAGGAGTGTCACCCTCCTAGGATGCTCCCCAGCCCAGAAGGCCAGTAAAGGAAGCCAGAGCCTGGCTGTGGTGATGGGACAGACATGGGGGCCTAAGTAGGCAGAGCCCCATGCAGCAGCTCTCATCACTGGCTGGTGCTTCTTGCTCCAGGGGTCATCTGTCCTGGAAGGGCCAGTGTGGGGCTGCCCCTGGAAGAGAGCAGAGACCTAAAGGGGGCCTGGGGTTTGTGGGTGGCTTGATTGAGCCAGAAAAAACACTTGCATGGCGGCTGCTGCCTTTGAAACACTAAATAGGTTTATGTCTTTAATTCCTGTGTGTTTATACTCCTCTTTATTAGTGCATAAATACTAGAAAATCATCTCTCAGAAGGTGCAGTTGGGCGGGGGTGGGCTGGGCTTGCCCAGCCAATGGGGTGCGGGCCCTGTGCTGGGCCCTGGCTTGGTCTGCAGGGTCAGGCTGTCCCGCCAGGGCTCATACACCAGAGTGTAGCTCTCTGCCCTCTTGATGGTGAACTTGTAGGAGCGGCTGGGCAGCAGGTTCCGGACATCGAAGGTGCAGGCAGCCACCGGGATGACGCCGCGCTGTGCACATTCCTGCTGTGTCCGCGGGTCCAGCAGCTTGAAGCGCAGCTCAAATGGCTCTGGCACTGGTGGCTGGACAGTGACGAACCAGCGCAGACTGACCCCGTCCTGGTGGGCCACCGACTCCTTGCGGTCAAACATGACAGGCATCTTTGTGCTCAGCATGAGCCGGATATGTGGGATCTTGGTGGCGCCAACGTCAGATACCAGGCGGTGCTTGACGTGCAGGCGTCCCGGCACCATCATGGCCAGGAAGTTGTCCATGACAGCCGAAAGGTCTGCCAGCCGCTCCTCCACTTGCCCCCAGCCTGCCAGGAAGGGCCGTGGGTCTGGCGACTCAAGCAGGGCATCCAGCTCAGCACGGCCGCGATCCAGCTGCTCCAGCAGGTCCCCCAGCAGTAGGAGCTGGATCTTGGTCTGCGCTGTGCCCACCTTCTTCATACGCTGGAACTTCCAGGGGTCGATCAGCTGGAACATGGTGTTGGGCAGTACCAGGGGGTTCTGGTCGCCCAGGGCCAGATGCTTGGGGAGGACCTCAATGTAGTAGGAACACTTCCTGAGCAGCTGCATGCGTGCGTGGTGACGCTTGAGCAGGTGGGGGCTCAGGTCTGCAGCCAGGAACTCTCGAAGTGCATTGCGCCGGCCTGCATAGGTCCTCCAAGCCCCTGGCTCCAGTAGCTGCTGGTCCTCAGCCTCCTCGGTCTCCTCCTGGTCTGGGAAGGACTGGGGACTGTCCAGCTTCGTCTCATCCAGGCCCAGGCCTATTGCCTGGAAGCTCATGGTCTGGGAGCTAGGGGTAGAGGGCCAGGCATGAGCTGCAATGGCTGGGCTGGCCTCTGCCACCCACCCAGGGGCACTCAGGGCTTCAGGCCCTGTCTAACATTGGGCCTCTGTCCTCCCCTCCAGGACATATCTGTCCGGGAGGGCTGGAAGGCAGGCTGTAGTCATGGACATAAGTGCATGCTGAGTGCCAAGGAACCTCTTCTCAGGGGCCAGTGGCCATTTGCAGTGATGAGACAGCATGGGGCTGAGACAGTGGCCTGTAAGGTCAGAACAGCTGAGGCAGAAACCCCAGCTGCTGATCAGTGTGTGGTGTGGCAAGGCCCTCAGTTTCTCTTCTGAAATGAGTGCTGGTGCCCTCAGGGCTGTGGAGAGGATTCAGTGTGATCCCAAGTGCCATGGGGCCCCAACAGCATTAATGGACTGAATCCAGCCCCAGGCTCTCCCTGAGGACTCTCCATACCTCCCCACCATTGTGGCACAGAGGGCCAGACTCAGGCTAGGGCCTGCTTACCAAGCCCACTGTGTACCTGGGGCCTTGTGACTCTCACCAGCTCACAAAACACCCTGCAAAGGTGGCAGATTCTGTCCCCCACCTCACAGATGGGAGCCTGAGGCTAAGAGCCTGGTGCTCACCCTTGCTCCAGGGTTTGAGCCTGGCTGCAGACCCCAGACCCTGACTGGGATCTCCTTCTGGGACCTGGGCTCTGAGCTTTGGGTGCAGCTGTGGCCCTAGGTTCCCTGCCACCCTTCCCACTCCCCATGGGGATGAAGCAGCCCCTGAGCTGAGCCATGGCATTCCCGGGAGGTCTCCCAATGCCGTTGCCCAGTAACTAGTAGTTGTTTGGATACAATGCAGCTGAGGACTGAGAGAGAAGCAGGAGGGAAGCTGGGACCCAAGTCTGCCCCACCCCCAACAGGCCAATCCTTCACCTTCCTGGGGCAGGGGCCAGCACAGGGAGCCAGGAGCAGGACCCCGGCCCAAGTGCTGCTCTGCTGGAGGCTGGAGCAGATTTCGCTTCTGGAGGGAAGTCCTGCCTCTGCTACTGGTCAGGGATGTTTCCAGTGGCCGACAGACGCCCTCTTGGAAAACTGCAGGGGGATGGTTTGTGACCCAGAGGAAGGCAGGTCTGACCCCCGCTGTGGCCCTGAGACCCTCTCTCCACCACACTGCCCTAGACGGGCGGTAAGGCCCCTACCCCCGGCCCTCCTCTCCCAGTCTCTGGCGCCCCCAGGCCCTCGCCCTCCGGCTCCCCACTTGCCCTGCCTCCCGGAGCCGAAGGAGCCGAGAGGCCACTGTCTGGTGCCGGCCCGGAGCCCAGCTTCGCGCCCCGGCTTCCAGCGGGTTGCCATGGCGATCGTGTGCTACTGTGACGGCCAGGTGGGGGCGGGGAGCCGACGGGGTGCGGGGAGACCCCGCCCCGTCGCACCCACACCTGCACTCCGAGAGCGGCCACGAAAGCCAAAAGGCGGAGTTCCCGCATGCGAGTGGCTGAGCAGTGACTCGCCCTCCGCCCAGGACCTGCGTTAGGGTCCTCAGCCCTGCCCCTCCCGCCGCTCGCAGCTGGGTGGAACCGTCCAGCCTCTGGACCCGCGCCCTACCTGGGACCTCTGGGGGCTGCTGGTCTGCGGGGCTTCAAGTGGGGCTCCGCGAAAGTGGAGAGCCGACGCCGCGTGGGGAACCATTCCGGGGCATAGCACTCCCTGCCACAGGCCTTTCCCGCTGGTACCAAGAAGACCAGTCCTGCTGGACACTGCAACTCCCTCGGGAGCCCCTCGAAGGGATTCCAGAGAGTAAGACACCAGCTGTGGTGGGCGGTGTCTCCTCTGGAGGCTCCCCCAGGCTCTGCAAGTCCTTCCCGCTGGGGGCCAGGGTCTCCATACTCGGGGTAGCTAGCTCCAGAAGCGTGATATATATATCATGTACTTTCTCTGTTCTTTATATTCCTGGGAGGGTAAGATTTGCTGACCAGGACTGTGTGACTTTCTGCCCTGCTGACCCATTCCCTTATGAGTGTCTTTCCCAGAAACAGCAGAACCTCCTTGCAGCCACCAGATAACTGCAGAGCCTTACACCACCTGTTTGTCCTGAGAGGCCAAGATAAGCGGCACCCCACAGCACACTGTGTCCAAGGACCCACTGAGCCTGGGCACAGACTGATAGAATGACCAGTATTAACCTCCCGCTCATTACAGTTCTGATACCCCCATCCTGGGTGGGACTTACCTGCTGTTTCTTGATCATAGGCTGTGTGGTAGCATGATTCCTCCCTGTGCTTTCCTGCCCGGCAGTCCTCCCCAGAGGAGTAATGATGCCCACTCCCCTCCTGCATTATTTATTTATGCCTCCTTAAAAGCCCCTGACCCTATCAGTCAGGGAGGTGGAGTCCAGTGGAGGCAGCTAGTGCCTCCCCCCAGCAGATGTGACTCCTGAAGTAAATGCTTTCTTCCTTGGCAAATCTGTCATCTCAGTGGTTGGCTTTCTGTGGGGTGAGCAACATTGAACACCACTGTGGGTTTGTTAACACAGGGAGCCCTCAAAGGAGTTGTGAGGCCCTCCTGTCCCATCTATATCCCCCAACTGGCTCAGGACCTCTGGGGTCACCACCCAGCCCTGACCCCCACTCCAGCTGGCTGGGGGTCTCCAGCTGCCAGGGCTAGTCTCAGGCACCCTGAGGTGCTCCCTGCCTCACTTTGGGAGGAGAGCAAAGGGAGGGACGTCTCTTCCCACCCCTTGTCTCCATTCCAGGGAGGCCAATGGTAGGGCCCCTCCAGGGTGGTTCCTCCCCTGCAGTGCCCTGTGACCCCACCCTGGGAGGTGGGGCCTGGGGATGGAGCAGGTGGGCGCCTTCCCTGCCTGGGCCTAATGAGTAAATGTAGCTACTGCTGCTGACACTATTACTGAGGGGTTCCTAGACAGGAGCTGGGTTATTTGGAGGAGGTGGTATGGTCTGAAGGTGGGAGAAGGTGGCACCTGGAAAGGAGAATGGATATCAGTCAGGAAGAAGACTCCTCCCCTAACCCCTTTCCCACAGCCAGGCCTTTCCTGCACCTCTGCCTCTCCTGGCTCCACCCACACCCTTTTTTCTCTTTTGATTTCCTGTCTCAATTTTTTTTGAGACAGAGTCTCACTTTCTTGCCCCTGGTAGAATGCTGTGGTGTCGTGGTTCACAGCAACCTCAAACTCTTGGGCTTAAGCAATCCTCTTGCCTCAGGCTCCCGAGTAGCTAGGACTACAGGTGCCCACCACAATGCCCAGCTATTTTCTCTCTCTCTTTTTTTTTTAAGAGATGATATCTTGTTCTTGCTCAGGCTGATCTCGAACTCATGAGCTCAAGCAATCCACCTACCTTGGCCTCCCAGAGTTCTGGGATTACAGGTGTGAGCCACAGCACCCAGCCCTTCAGTTTTTAAAGTTAAACTTTCATTTTTGAGATAATCATTGATTCACATGCAGTTATATGAAATAACATAGGGTCCTGTGGACACTCTACCCAGTGTCTCCAGACTACACCAGGATGCCGACACTGGTATGGACACAGACCAGTTCCCTATAGCCATCCCCCCTGCTTCTATGATCGCATTCTTTCCAGAGTACCTGATCGTGTCCTTTCAGGTACCTGAAGTCTCTTGGCATGCTGCCTTTCACAGCCCCAGATACATGAGCTGGGGTTTGCATCTGAGGCAACAGGAACCTAGCTGCCAGCCCCCACCCAGACCGTCACCAGGAAGGCCTACACTGCCTAACAGCTGCAGTAAGCTCAGTGCTCACATAGGGAAGGACTATCCCCAGGTCACATGGCCAGTATCTGTGAGAGCAGATTCCAGCCCCATCTTCTGTCCCGGTGCAGAGTGGCCCTGTGCCCGCAGCCCTCTCTTTGCTCATCTCTGTCCCTCCCAGTTAGGACCAAGGGAGGAGTTGAGCTTGTGGGGGGGGGGGCTGTCAGGCAGAGTCAGAAGAGGGGGCTGCCTGCGCTGTCCCAGGGAGGCAGAGGGAAAGGGAGGAGATTATGCACAATTTAGGCTCCTGTGTAGAGGGAAGGGCAACAGGTGCTTGCAGGAGAAAGGTGGGGGTGGGCTGGATGAAGAGTGCAGATTTGGGGGTTGGCAGGGTGGAGACCTGCCAGGGCAGAGGCCCTGGTGGTATTTATGTGCAGCCAGGACTAGGGAGGAGGGCCAGGCCAGGCCAGGTGGGGTAAGGGGTGTGGTGAGGTATGGGGTCAGGTGTAGGATCAGGGTTGGATACAGGGTGGGATGCAGAGCAGGGGCTGGGTGCATGGTCAGGATGAGGTATGAGGTGCAGTGGGCTCCAGGGTGTGGTCCATGGCGGGGCGGGGTTCAGGGTCTGGGTGAGGTATAGGGTTGGTCTGGAGTGGAGGGCCAAGGTAGAGTACAGTGGGTGGTGGGGAACAAAGTCAAGGTGGAGGTGCAAGGTGTGCTTGGGGTCCAGGGTGGAGTATACGGTCAAATTAGAGTGTAGGAGGCTGGGTGTAGTATCTCACTCCTATAATCCCAGCACTCTGTGAGGCTTAGGAGGGTGGATTGCTTGAGCTCCCAAGTTCGAAACCAGCCTGAGTAAGAGCAAGAAGAAAAAAAACAACAAGGTATTGTGGCAGGCGCCTGTAGTCCCAGCTACTTGGGAGGCTGGGGCAAGAGAATCACTTGAGCCCAAGAATTTGAGGTTCCTGTGAGCTGTGGTGCCACACACTCTACCAAGGGTGACAAAGTGAGACTCTGTCTCAAAAAAAGGAAAAGAAAAAAGTGGGGGTTGTGGTGGGTACAGAGTTGAAGTGGGGTGTGGGTGTGGAGGGGTGCAGAGTGGAGCAGGGTCAAGGTGGGGTACTGGATAGCTTGAGGTGCAGGGTGGGCTAGACTGCAGGGAGGGGTAGGGTGCAGGGTGAGGTGGGGGATGTGATAGGGTCCAGGGTAGAGTGAGGGGCAGAGTGGGCTGGGCTGCAAGGAGGGGTGGAGTGTAGGGTGAGGTGGTGATGTGATAGCATGCAGGGTGAGGAGGCAGCCTGTGGAGTGCCCCCTTGACAGCTCTCTCCACTGGGATGTCCTCTCTGGTCTGGTCTCTCTAAGTCTCTCTCCCGGGGCTCACAATTAGGCCTTTTTTAGACTCTGTCCTGTTTGCCTGGAGATGGGCTAGATTCCTACTGTCTAGCACAGGTTCCTGCTAGAAAATGTCCTTGCTCTGACCTTGGGTGGTGAGGGATGGACATAACTTTGTTTCTCATCTGCACAAGGAAGAAGATTCCCCCACTCCCACCATGCAGCTTCTGTACCAGAAGCTCCTTTACCCCCAAGCTGGATCCCCTATTCTGTCTGTGGGCATTTCCCTGGGCCACCAGGAGGCTTGGGGACAGGTCTGGGAGCCAGGCCCAAGAACAGGTGGTCACTCCACTCCTCTCTAACCACCAGGCTGACTTCTGGGCTCTGGCATGGAATGTGCTAAGTCTCAGAGTCCAGGACCCTGTGTCTTTAAGGGACGTGGAGTGTCATTTATGGTGGTCAGCACAGGGGAGCCTCATGTGGCCAGAGGAGGCTCTCTGCCGCTGTGCAGCTTGGTAGAGAGAAGCTTAGTGCACAAGATTCTAGAAAACTACTATGCAGAGCCCATGTTTGCAGGCACTAGGATGTGGGGGCCCACTATCCTCCCAGAGCACCTGGGTCCCAGGACTGGGGCTCACCAGGGACCTTCTCAGAGGAGGTGACCTCTTGGCCCAGGCTGAGGGTCCTTGGAGGGCAGGAGCTAGGGGCTGGAAGCAGCACCAGGTGAGACTGGGAGCACTTGGGAGGGCACAGTGAGCCGAGGATGCTGCCAGTGCATCCCCGTAGTGTGGCTCGGCATAAGCTTCAGGCCCCTTGCAGGCCTCTGTCATGCTAATGACAGTGCATGAGTCTGCACTGCAGAGTCTGCTTGAGCCTGCTGGTTTGCACACCAGCAGGAAGCCAACAGGGGCCTCTGGAGTGACCATGGAGGTGGTGCCACCTGTCACCCCACCCTCATGTGCTGGGTAGGGACGCTGTGCAGGGAGCCCACAGATGCCCAGCTGTCCCACTGGCCCTTCCAGTTTCTCCCCAGAGTCTCAGCGGCTGCTCAGCTTCCACCGTGGTGGGGCCGTGGCCTGGAGGGGTGACCAGGGTGGGACAGTGTTCCCTTGTCAGCAGCCGGACGCCCACAGGGCATGGAGCCCTTCCTCAGGAAGCGGCTGACCTTCCTGTCCTTCTTCTGGGACAAAGTCTGGCCTGTGAGAAAGCCAGGCGGTAGCATTCCCAGGCCTGCAGATCCTGCCACTGACCTGGGGCCAGGGTCCTCTGCCTCCATGGAGCCCTGCAGCCACTTGGCACAAGGCAAGCAGCTCTATATTGCACTGTCTGACTTCACTGCACGGTGCGCAGAGGAGCTGACTGTAAGCCACGGGGAACAGCTCTACGCCCTCAAGGAGGAGACCCACTACATCTTTGCCTGCAGGCTCTCAGGCAGGCCTGGGACTGGGCTCGTGCCCATCACTTGTGTCACCAGGGCCACGGAGGCACTCACAGACCAACCGTGAGTACCTCGGCCTCAGAGCCCAGAGTCTGCCTGCCCCAGGGCTGAGCAGTCAGGAATAGACAGGGTTTGGAGTAGGGAATTGCATGTCTGTGCTTGCCTGATCATTTTTGTACATATTCGGTGACAGTTAGTGCCCAGGAGAGCCACAGGTGTGGGAGAGCTGAGTCATAATGTGCAGTGTGCACTGCCCAGAGGCAGGGGTCAGGTCAAGGGGCAAATCAGCTGCATGGGCCAGGCACCCAGCAGATGGTCACCCAGGCCCTCCTGCCCTCACACAGGGAGCCCAGTGTTCACTGGGTGGCTGCTGCTTAGAGGGAAGGGGCTAGGGGCTGGAAGCAGCACCAGGTGAGACAGGGAGAGCTTGGGAGGGTGCAGTGAGTTGGGAATGCAGATGCTGCTAGTACTGTGAGGAGCCAGCCAGTCTGGACTGTGAGTTTTCCAGCCTCCTTGCCTGTCCACACTCACTCAACTGCCCCAAGCTGGGTGCGGGCATGGACAGTGTGGCCCTGGCCCACGTGTTGCTCCCCAGGGGCTGGTTTGGTGAGTGGGCACAGGTGGGGGCCCACCTATCACCCCAGAGCACCCAGCCCCCAGGGCTGGGGCTTACCAGGGGCCTTCTCAGAGAAGTTGACCTCTTGGCCCAGGCCAAGGTCCAGGTACAGCACTGCCCCCTGGGTTCACTATGCACTCTGAGCACCCAGTGTGCCAGCTCCAAGCATGGCCCTGCCATGTGGTGGTGGACAATTCACAGGATGAAATCATTTGACCCAAATCCTGGGATGTGACCCCCTCAATGTGGTTGGTCAGCCCAGATTCCTGGCTATCGCAATCCCCACTGTCAAGACAGGCTAGCTCGGCTCGGCGCCCGTGGCTCAAGTGGCTAAGGCACCAGCCACATACACCCAAGGTGGTGGGTTCGAATCCAGCCTGGGCCCGCCAAACAACAATGATGGCTGCAACCAAAAAATAGCCAGGTGTTGTGGCGGGCGCCTGTGGTCCCAGCTACTTGGGAGGCTGAGGCAGGAGACTGGCTTGAGCCCAGGCGTTGGAGGTTGCTGTGAGCTGTGATGCCACAGCACTCTACCCAGTGGGACAGCTTGAGGCTCTGCCTCAAAAAAAAAAAAAAAAAAAGACAGGCTAGCTCCTGGGGACCCTCAGGGGCAAAGGCACCCTCTAGTGGTAACTGGCTAGCAGGTATTGTGTGGCAGGACAGAGGCTGGGCATGAGCAGGCCAGAGCTGGTCCAGCAAAGCAAGGTCCAGCTGCCCAGTGGAGCTATCCTGGGCAGCTGCCCTGATCCTGTGCCCAGCTGGACCTGGCCTGAGTGCTGGACCTGCCCTCTGCAGTCCAGCAGGGGCCCCTGGGCACTCATGTGTCTCCTGGGGGTGGGTGAAGTAGGCTGGCACTGAGCAGCGGGTGGGGTGGAAGCTCCTGGAGATCTGACAAGCAGGGCAGGCTGAGAGCAGAGACTCTTTGGCCCTCTATCGTTAGTCCCATACCACAAGGCAAGGCCCCCAGCCCACCCTTTATAGCTCAGGGGGTACACAGGTCCCACCTCACATCCCTCAGCCCTACTATGCTGGGAAGGGACCCTGGAGCCCTTTCACATAGGAAAGGGTGTAGTCTCTCTGTAGTTGGATCCCAGAAGGCAAGGTGCTCAACCACAGGGGCGCTCAGGGGACAGAGAGGCACAGTCTTGAGGGTTTTGCTCTGCCCTGCACCTGTCTATGAGCCTTCCCACATCTGCTGCCCCGGCAGGTTTCATTTTAGGGGACCCACATTCACCCTATGACTTAGTCCAGGCACTGGCCATCCCTCGAGGCTGCCCTATGTCCCTGCCTACCTGGCAGCCCCTGCTCTTCAGGCCTTGGCCTCTTGTCTCCATGGCCTCACCTCTCCAATAGCACAGCTGGCTATAGCCCCAGCCTGCCCAGCCCCTACTCAGCCCAGCCCAGCACCACCCCTCTCAGTCCCTCTGCTCTTGTGTGGACTCATTTAGGGTCACCCATTAGCTCTGGGGGCCTCTATACCTGCCCCTCGCCTGGGCTTAATGTGCCCCCTGTCACATGGACAAGGGACTGTACTCACACGGCCATTCCTGGGGGACAAACCTTGTTCTCCAGGTGCTTGGAGGGTCCCAGGGCAGAGCAAGTAGGGGGTGAAGCCCCAGCTGGGCCTGGGGAAGCAGCCCCCTTCAGGGAAGCTTTGAGCCTCAGGCTGAGCAGAGCTTCCTGTCTTAGGCGCAGGCTTCATAGGGATATAGCATCTATGTAGGCAAAGAGGACAGAGGGTCAGGGGTCTAGCCCTTCAGAGGAGACTCGAACACTTCTAGCCTTCCCCTGGCACCCCCCACAGCCTTCTGCTGGCCACCTTTCCTGACCGCCTGCCCAGCTTAACCCAGGACTGAGTCTGCTTTGGTTGCACCCTACTGGCCAATCACCTAAGGCAGGGGTCCCCTATGGCCCCCCAGCAGTCCAGCAGACGCTCCCAGGCAGCTCTGGAGGGCCCTGGTTCCTTGTGGAGTCCTCAGGGGTGCATCAGGTTGGCCGTGGCCTGGGCTGCTGTTGACCTGTGGCTGGGCTGGTGATAACTTCCTAAGTGGGAAACTGGAGGTCATTTGCCCCAGGGCTAACTGGAGAGCCTGTGGCTGAGGGGATGAGCCTGGCTCCCCTGGGGACAGTTGAGTCAGTTTGGTGGCCCCTCACCCTGCCTTCCAGCCCCTAGGACTCTCTGGGGGCTGAGGCAGTGCAGACCCTGGACTGAGACCCCAGTACCTGGCATTGGGCATACCCTCCTTTGGGGAGGTGATAGTACAGCCAGGGCTTGGCCAGGCTGCCAGTACAAGCAAGGCACTTGGGGCCTGGCAGAGGCCACTTGGGGCTCTGGGGCCTGAAAATCTCAGCCACATCCGCTGTTTGCAGCTGGTTCTTCGGCGGGACCAGCCGGACACAGGCCCAGCAACTGCTCCTCTCCCCTGACAACACACTAGGAGTCTTCCTTGTGCGGCCCAGTGAAAGTAGCTTTGGGGGCTACTCGCTGTCAGGTGTGTGTGGGGGTCCTGTCTCTGCCTACAGCTGTAGACCAGGCAGCACTGGGGTCTGGAAGGTCCTATCAACAATGCTCCCTCTCTCCTCCATGAGGCTCTGCCATCTTGGAGTCCCCAAACCCAGTTCTGAGCCAGTCATTGGCAGGATGTCTCGGGCATCCTTGCTGGTGGAGGGTCAGGCCGGCTACAGCCAAAACATGGGTCCCAATCTTCCACACCTTCCCAGTCCGAGCCCAGGCCAAAGTCTGCCACTTCCGAATCTCCATGGCAGCTGATGGCAGCTTCTACCTGCAGAAGGGCAGGCTCTTCCCCAGCCTGGAGGAGCTGCTCACCTACTACAAGGCCCACTGGAAGCTCACTCAGCTTCCAGTACTGCAGCCCTGCGTGCTCCAGGTAGGCCCTGCTGCCACCCCCTCTTTACATCCCCACAGGTGGCAGATAAGCTCCTAGTGGGCCCTGCACTCTGGTCCTGCCCCAGGTGGTGTCTGCTTAGTGCAGATGTTTCATCTCTTTTCCTGATGATGGTGGAGGGACATGGTGGGGACTGCTGGCGGGCCTGGGGGCCAGAGAGGAAACCTGTAGGGTGTGCCCAGCTCTGCAGGGGAGCGGCACAGAGGGCCAGGGACAGTCACAGAGGCAACTGCAGCTGCCTCAGTCACCAGAGGAAGCTGTGGGAGGAGATGCTGATCCCAGATACTGTACCTGGCTGGAGCCGCCAATTCTCTGGGACTGTCCCAGACCAGCTCTCAGGCCACAATCTGGTTTCTCTGGTCTTGCAGTGACAACCTGGCCAGGGGCAGTAATGAGTACTTGTGGATGGATGTCTGGCATGGCAGAGGTGCCACTTAAGTCCCCAAAGCCATTAGCTCCAGCTACACTGGGTGCGTCTGCCCTGCCACACTTGGATGAGCTTGGGCAGAGCCCAGCTACACTGGGTGCGTCTGCCCTGCCACACTTGGATGAGCTTGGGCAGAGCCCAGCTACACTGGGTGCGTCTGCCCTGCCACACTTGGATGAGCTTGGGCAGAGCCCGAGAGGCTGAGGCCGGGTGCTGGCTCTGCCCAGACAGGCGAGGAGGCGGCAGGCCCAGGGAGCAGCAGGGCTCTGAGTGTCCCTCTCTGTAGAATCCCCTGGAACAGGACTAGTGGGAGCGGTCGCGCTCTGAGTTTGCTCTTCGGAGAAAGCTGGGTGAAGGCTGCTTCGGGGAGGTGTGGGAAGGCCTGTGGTGAGGCTCCATGCCTGTGGCCATCAAGGTCATCAAGTCAGGTGAGGTCATCCACTCTCTGGGCCCCTGGCTCCTGAGGCAAGCAGCGTCTGGTGGCCTGGGCTGGCCCTGGAGCTGTGCCCTCTCCTGCAGCTGGCTGACCTAGCCAAGGAGATCCAGACGCTGAAGAGCCTGAGACACGAGCAGCTCATCCAGCTGCATGCGGTGTGCTCGGCCAGGGAGCCCGTGTACATTGTCACCGAGCTCATGCACAAAGGCAGCCTGCAGGCCTTCCTGGGCAGTGAGTACCCTGCCCCCACCCAGCAGAGCTGGGCCCACCAAGGCCTTCAAAGGTGGCCCTGGCTGCAGACATCTGCCCTGCTTGACCTCAGACAACAGAGGGGTGGGCAGCTTGAGGCCTGGGTCAGGCCTGGCGAGGCTGAGAGACCATCAGGGCCTTGTGAGTCCAGGGCCAGGGCCAGAGTCCAGCTGGAGCCTGCAGCCACATTTGGGGCACCAACCTTTGTCCAATGTGACCATGCACCCAGCTGGGCCCAGGCTCCTTTTTCCCTCTGGCCCTTCTCTGTTCCTGGTTTCCAACAGAGGCTTGGGTGAGGAACAGATTGCCCTGAGGGGTCATGGGGTACATGACCCCTTCCTGCCCTCTACAGCCTTTGCTGGTGGTGTGTTCTCACCTCATCTTAGAGATGAGGAGTCACAGAGGGTTAAATTGACATGAGAGGATGCCCTATGCTGCCTGACTTGAGGCCCTGAGCTCCTCCCCTCCAGGTCCTATGTCCCCTCTCCTGCAGACCCTGAGTTCCTCCCTTGAAGGCCTTGGGATCCACCCCTCCAGGCCCTAAGCCCCTCCCCTCCTGGCCCTGAGCTCCTCCCCTGCAGGCCTTGAGCCCTTTCCCCTGCAGGCCCTGAACCCCCTCCCTTCCAGGCCCTGCAGGCCCTGAGCTTCCTCCCCTGTAGGCCCTAAGCACCTTCCCTCCAGGCCTTGCAGGCCTTGAATCCCTCCCCTCCAGGTCCTGAACCCTCCCCTGAAGGCCCTGAGCCCCCTTCCCTGCAGGCCCTGAGCTCCCTCCCTTGCAGGCCCTGAGGGCCAGGCCCTGAGCCTCACCCTGCTGCTGAGGTTTGCCTGCCAGGTGGCTGAGGGAATGAGCTACCTAGAGCAGCAGCGCATCGTGCACAGGGACCTGGCTGGCAGGAATGTGCTTGTGGACAACGTCCTTGCCTGTAAGGTGGCTGACTTTGGCCTGGCCCGGTTGCTCAAGGTTGGCAGGGCTCTGGGCGCCACCCCTTGGTCCCAGACTGGGCAGGGTGGGAGGTCCCAGGTCCACCTGCCTCACTGCTGCCCCTCTGCAGGACGACATTTACTCCCCGAGCAGCGGCTCCAAGATCCCCATCAAGTGGACGGCACCTGAGGCGGCCAGCTACTGGGTGTTCTCTCAGAAATCAGATGCCTGGTCCTTTGGTGTCCTGCTGTACGAGGTTTTCACCTATGGCCAGTGTCCCTATGAAGGTTTGTCCCAGGGCTGCCCGCTGAAGGCCAGAGTGTCTGGCCAGGGGCTGTGAGGTCCCCACAGTGACTCTCCGGCAGAAGCGCCCTCTCCCATTACTCTCCCAGGAATGACCAACCGCGAGACATTGCAGCAGGTCATGCGTGGGTACCGCCTACCCCGCCCAGCTGCCTGCCCCAGGGAGGTCTATGCACTCATGCTGGACTGCTGGAGGGCCAGCCCGGACGAGCGGCCTACCTTCACAGCACTGCAGGAGAAGCTGCACACCCTCCACCAGTGCCTCCCCCAGGTCCCACCATGACCAGAGCCTGGACCCTGGACACCCTTGGGTCTGTGGCAAGAGTTTGTTTGCTTTCCCAAACAACACTATAGGAAGCCAGATAGCAGGGGACAAGCTGCTTCTGGCCACGGGCCTCGGGCACTGACAATGCACATGTGTGTGCAGGGGAGATAGACACACTCCCAGACAATGGAAGGGCTGATGTCTTCTGCCCAGTGTGACTCATATTCCTAGGAGGGAGACAAATAGCCCAGAAGGGTCAGATAGACCCTTGGAAATATGCCAAGAAGAGAAGCCTGGGGTCCAGCGTGGTCTTTCCTTGCCCAAGCCTGCTGCTTCAGCCTCCCAACCCCTTTCCAGGGTCAAGAGCTAGAGGCTAATTTCTCCCAAGGGCTACCTAGGCTTTGTTGAAGTGGCTGGTGCCAGGCTCCTGGGCTCTAAACATGTGGGGACCCTCCTGCCTCAGCACCCAGGCGCTCAACCTCCTATGTGCAAACCCATGCACATATATAGACAGCACTCAATACACACCACCTGACTCAGACACACACAGGTGTGTACCACATACTCACTTAGCACCCCACACCCAGTCTTGGGGCTGGAGCTGAAGAAGTCCATGTGGCTAGAGAAGGTAGAAGAGAGAGCTGGCCAGACCACAAGCTGTGTGAGGACCTCTCTCTGTCTCTGGACCAGTGTGGAGTGGATAGGCTAGATGAAGCAGCAGAGGTTTGGCCAGGCTGTGGGGGGTGGGGTGGCCTAGGGGTGGGGGGTCTAGAGGCCTTGTGGCCTGCGTGCTGCCTCCTGAAGCTGTTTTAAGGGGCTTCAGAATGGGTAGTGGTCAGAGAGGCTGTCTCCTGGCTAGACAGGGTCAGGGGTGGTGGGGGGACACTGTGCTGAGCTGGTGGCTGGAGAAAGCACAGACAGCAGAGTTGGCCCTTTCAGGCGCTGAGCTGCCGAGTTGACAGAGACCCACACAGCAGCCTATACACCCTGGGCCCTGTGGCCTCAGGCCTGACTCGGTCAGCATCCCTTAGAGCGAAAGGAGCTGAGGGTCTCTGCCCACCCTGAGGTCGATTGGTCCAGCACCACTGACCACAGGTTATGGGCTGGCACAAAAGGGAGCTAGGAAATGAGACCCAATGTGCAGGCTACTAGCGGGAACCAGGGCAGGGCCACAGAGCAGAGGGCAGTGGTGGGAACTGCCTAACTCTTGACCTGCTGAAGCTCAGGCAGGGAGTGGGGAGGGGACAGAGGTTTCGGGGGCCTCAGATGCCAGGGTGTGGCTGGCACCAAGCCCTGAAATTGGTGAAGGCAGCAGGGTCTATCTGAGCCTTTTGGAGCTCTGGTAGGTAGCGTCATGCCCCTGCCTTGGCCTCACCCCTGACCTCCTGCGTGTCCTGAGAGGGCCTAGGAAGGTAGAGCCTCGAACCACCATTGGCTGGGGCTGCCCTGAGTGCAGAGCTGGGGTGGGTTTAACCAGGCCACAGAAGCAGGGATGGCTGTGGTCTCTGGTGCTTTACTGGGCCTTTCATCAGCTGCAGGTGGGCAGGTTTGGTGCTCCCAGGTCTTGGGAGGGGCTGGGGACTTTCCTGCTTCCAGGTGGCTCAAACAGAACCTGTACACATCCATGCTCAGGGATGTGAGAGGCCCCTGGACACAGGCTCACACAAAGAGGGCCAAGTCCTGAGGGCCTGGAGCCCTGGTAGGTAGGGGGTAGGAGAGCCACCTGGCCTGATGTGCCACCTAGTGCCATGCCCTCTCTGTGCCCCAACCCCATCCCTACCTTGGTCAGTACGGAGCCCAGCTAGGCTGCCCAAGGCGTCTTTAAACCTGTCACATAATCCACGTCCCTGTTCTTAATCTCAAAATGAAACAAGTAGGTGGTGCCAGTGTTCTCATGCGTGGAGTTTAGTTTGTGATCTTCCCATCAGTCTACTTTGGTTGCAAGCTGGTGGGGTCGCCCTGGGGAGAGGGGGTCAGCTGAGTTCCAAAGGGGCTCTCTGGAGATGGTAGGGAAGGATGAACTTGGGGGCCTGGGAGGGAGGAGAGGGTGAAGGCCTGCTTTGGTGTGGGCTCACAGTCTGTGGATGCCCCCTTGTGTCCATCTTGAGGAGGGCAGTGCCAGCTTCCTTAGAGGGTCTGTAGCCCAGACGCAGCCAGGGAGCCCCTCGCCTGGCACAGCCACCACTGCCCTGAGCCTCCACATCCCTGGACCTCCCTGTTGGTTTGGGCCCAGTCTTCTCTGGAGTGGACCCTCCAGGGCAGACTTATGTCGAGGTTTGCTGTGGACCCTGACCTGGGTTGGGAGTTGACAGGGGAAATGACGTTGGGGGCGTGGGAATCATGAGACCTCTCACGAACTTAATGCATAAAGTCTGGGAGCCTGGAGAGGCGCACACTGACTCGCGCATCCTGTGCATATACTAAATCAATGCAGCAACTTCTTGACGTCTCAGAAACCTTTTATTGATCTCTAACACAAAGGGAATATCAAAAATGCAAAGATGCCAAAAGAAAGGATTAAAATAATCCCAAGTTCCCAGGAAGACTAGGTAGAGGGAAAGGCTGGGTAAATGGGGGCATAAGGTAGGGGGTTGTTAACAAACGGTCTATAACTCTATAACTTATTTAGAAAGGGGGAAGGGAAAACCAGTTTCATTCCCACAGGGTAAGCAAGCTTCCCTAACCTAACTGCCCATCAAGAGTTCAGAGGATTTAGCCCTGCTAAAGAGCTTAGTCCTGCCCACCTGCTGACCTTTGGTGCACAGGGATGGTCTTAGCCACTTTGCCCTGTTTGGGGCACCTCTGGGCTCCTTTCATCTTCAGTGGTCTTGATGAGCCCTCAGGGATGGCAAGTCTGTGGGCTTTCCCCTGAATTGAGGTCGGGTGTCCTGCTGAGAGATCAGCCTATTTATCTCCATAACCCTATACCTGTGGGCTACTTCCCTCACAGATGGTAGCCCCAGGTGGGGGGCGGTAGAGGGCATGTTCTGCCCTGCAGGACAGTGGCTCTAAGGCCACCCTGCCACCACAGACCCTCCTGCTGGTCCCACAGTGTGGTGGGCTCTGAGTTGGGGCAGTATCCTCCTGTGCTATACCTTCCCATGGCCTCTGAAGTTTGGGAAGGCAGCACCCACGGCTCTTACCAGTTCCTCCCTCCCTCTCCTGGCCAGGTCCAGCCATGTGGCAGCTTGGCCAACAGGTTTTCATAGCAGATGGGTACCAGGGTTCAGGCTGATGATCGAGTACAGTGGGTAAGAGGACGGGGCTGGCTCTCATAGTGCAGCCTGCACTGCTCACTGGGAGTCCAGGAGAGGCCATTCTGATGGATCCTAGCTTCTTGTCATGAGTAAGTGGGTAGGGTGCCTGTCACAGACTACCCTACCCAGTGCTCCCAGTCAGGTGCCCAGTGGCCTGTCCAGCCATGGTGTCCAGGGCTAGGCTCACCTGGACCCTGAGGATGTGCATCTCTGGGACTTCAAGGCTCAGATGCAGGTGCAGTTGAGCTTCCAAGTGTGGGTTTGCTTCCATGCAAGCAGGAAGGAGGGGCAGTGGCGGTGAGCCACCTTGCTGGATGGCCCTCTGGCTGAGGGCCATGTGCTCTATACTACCCAGCTGGGGAAGAGATAGAGGAGTCTGAGCCATTGTCCCTGGGCCCAGGAGCTCAGAGTAGGGGCTACCCTCTGGGCATGGGGCTCACTACTGGGAGACTCAGGAATGTGGGGACTTCAGGCACAATCTTCTGCTCCCCAAAGTTGAGGCTGGACCTCTAAGTTGGTCCTTCTCTGGACCCCACCATCCTGGTTCCAGGAGTTGTGTGACATCTGTGGATAGAGGTCTTGGAGGACATGTCCAGGACTGACACTGTTCTGCTAGGAATCAGAGGTGATTGAGCACTGAAGGTAGATGCCAGGGGGGCTGGCTGGCACTGTGACCAAGTCTGTGTGGGAGCTCGAGGCCTTTAGGAGAGGGGTTTTCTAACAGTTTTCCAAACTGTTAGAACCAGAGGCCTGATCTTGTTAAAAGAGTGGAAAGGCCACTGGGATAGCCCGGTGTGGAAAACACATTGGACTGCTTGGCTATCTGCTGGGGTGCTGTCACCTTGTAGTCCCCTACCCAACGTCCCTAGCCTCCCACATGGAGAAGCCAGCAGGCACCTGCACAGGCATGTCCACTGCCCTGGCCACTCTGAGATCTGGCTGGGTGGGCCTGGAGGGAGGAGCTTCTGTGGCCTGGGCTCCTGGCACCCTCCTCACCATGCACCAATGTCTCCAGGCATTGGGCTCCCCAGTCAGGCTGTGGATGAGGCTATCTCCAAGGGGGTCTAGGGATGGGGGACTGTGCTAGGGCTGAGCCAGAGGCTGGAGTGGTCTAGGGGCTGCCTGGGAGACAGGCCCCAGCCCAGAGAACTAGCACATGAGAGGCACGGAGGAGGCCGGGGGAGGGCAGAAGTCACCAGGGGCTCTGCAGGCCCTGCTTGAAGTCCAGGCCAGGGCTTATGCACTCTCCAGCCAGGAGCTGGTGTTCACATGTGTGAGCAGCTAAGTGCCTGCACACACATGTACTTCTGCGAGTGTACACACTAGTGTGTAGAGGCCACACCTGAGAGCCCTGTTGCTTAGGTACCCTTCCACTGCGTGTCCCTCAAGAAGCCAGATGCATCTGCCTGGTTTCAGAGTAGCCCCATTGGAGGCTGGGGGACTGTGACCTGGATGGGGTCCCTCAGGGTCTATGGTGGACGCACGAAGGCATTGTGGGGCAACCGAGGTCTGGGCTGGGACTCAAGCAGCAGGTCAGCCTCTCTTGGACTGGGTGTCAGAAGCTCTGTACCAGATGCAGGCTGAGGGTAAATCACCGGGCACCTTCCCAATTAGAGTCAGCCAGAAGTCAGGCGCCAACTGCATCCTTTCACATACAGCCTGCCCACTATCTCCTTAGCTGTGTTGGCCCTTGGAGGGCTCTTTGTCCCTAAACTCTGCCAGCCATGTGGGGCGCCAGTCTCCCTCTGGTTGTGACCTCTGGGACAGCTGCTGTGACACTCTGCCCATCTTTGTAGTTTGTTCCTGGGGCCTGGGTTGGGCTATGGGCCCCTCACCCGGAAGGAAGGGATTCTTTAAGACTCAGAGCCTAAGGGTATGTGGCTTGCAGAGAAGCCCTGGCTCTGCCCCTAAAGGCTCAGTGTCGAGACGGGGGCTGTCAGGTGACCAGGAACCTTGGTAGCCCTGACCCTGCTTGTGCAGCTCCCTTGGCCTGCTTGGCGCTTGGTGTGGTCAGCACTACACCATCTGGCAGCACACAGGGGCCGGCTGACCTAAGTGGGGTATATCCTTCCCAAGCCTTTTGCTGTGTGGACCACCAAAAGGCCCCAGAGCCTGTCCCACGGCTGGTGGCTGACTGTGCCCTGCCAAAAGGCAGGTCCACTGTGTCCACCCCACCCCTCATGATACCACCTGACTCAGAGGTGGGGCAAGCTTGCACAGGTGGGTGTTTCCTGATGGGAGAGGCTGCTGTGACTCACTGGGAGCCCCAGCAGGAGGGGGGCGGGGGCCCAGTACTCTGCCCTGGCCACTCTTAGATCCTGCCCACAAGAGGTCAGCTGTGCTGGTGCCCTGTCCTGGCTCCCACCCTCTCTGTGATCTGTGTATAGGACATGGCAGGGGCTAGCCATGAGATCTGGGCCTGGGTGGGACACTAAGACCATCCCAACTGATCATTCCCTAATGTAAGGATAAACAGGGTTCCTATGCTGGGTTAGAGTGACACTTCCTGACCCTGGGCCAGGCAGCCAGTTATCAGAATACCTCCCTGCCCTGTGTCCCACTGTTCCTTCAGTCTCTATTTGACTGAGACAACTCCCTGGGACAGGCCAAGGGAATTTATACTCTGTAGGAAGCTGGGGTCCAGCTGCTTTGGGGAGGTGTTTGAAGGGCTCTGGAAAGACCAGGTCCCTGTGGTCATTAAGACCATTATTATTATTATTTTCTTGAGACAGAGTTTCACTTTGTTGCCCTCTATAGAGAGCTGTACCATCATAGATCACAGCAACCTCAAACTCCTGGGCTAAAGCAATTCACTTGCCTCAGCCTACCAAGTAGCTGGGACTACAGGTGCCCATCACAATGCCCAGCTATGTTTTAGAGGTGGGGGTCTCATTCTTGCTCAGGCTGGTTTTGAACTCGTGAGCTCAGGCAATCCACCAACCTGGGATTAGAGGCATGAGCCACCGCCCCCAGCCCATTAAGATGATTTCTTAAGGTGAGTGGGTTCTGGGCCAGAGGGCTCTGCTGACCTCCTGCCTCTCCCCTGCCAGTCCTTGGGGCAGGGGCTTCTGGCTTTGCCCAGAGTGGGGTAGAAGCCCCTACCCCTTTGTGTACAGCTTGATACCCACAGCACTATTGAGGGGTAGTGTTGATAAATAAATGGATTTATTTTAAAAGAAAACGCAAATCCTGAGTGAAATGGGACACCATTGCAATAAATAGATCACTAGAAATCTGAAAAGTGTCACAGGAAATGGCCTGGGTCCCATCAGAGGCCTGGACCCCATGTGTTTAAGAGTTGGGGCTCCAGGTCCAGGAGGACACTAGAGGGTGATTGGGTGACCCAGGCACCTTTCAGCCAAGCAGATGGGGCTATCAGGTGGGCATAGCAGACCCCACATAAATGCAGCCTAGGGCTGGGTTGTGAGGGACATCTCAGCCTTGGGATCTGGGAACACCCCTATGTTCTGAGCAGCTGCTGGGGGGCCTCCTTCTTGAGGCCTCAGGTCAGTGGCTGTACGCACCAAGGCTGCCAATACCCCCACAGACAAGCTCTTGCAGCAGCAGACAGTTCACTGGGAGATCCAGGCCACAAAGAAACCACAGCACAAACACGTGGTGGCATGTACACCATGTCAGTGTAGGGGCCAGCCCCACTGTACTTGGCATCATTGTCAGTGTAGGGGCCAGCCCCACACAGCTTGTGGGTATCCCTCCAACCTTGGCAGTGATTAGAGACAAGATAGGATTTAAAGAGTAGCCCCGGGGGACCATTGAAGCTACCTACTGTGAAGACCAGCCAATGCCCACCCCTTCCAGGTTTTAACTTAGTGTTTATTACCTACCTTATCTCCAAATTAGCAAACTAATACTCACAAAAAACAGCACTATGGGTCATAATTCTCAAGGTACTTACAATTTCAACTAAGCTACTTATTAACTAACTTTTGTAACTACTTTACTCTACCTTAAGCTATTTATAAACTAAGGACCTGGGAAGTTCATAGATCACCTAACAAGAGTTAGAAGCGGGGATGCCAAAGGCCTGTGTGGTGGCTCATGCCTGTAATCCTAGCACTCTTGAGGCCAAGGTTGGTGGATTACCCTGAGCTCATAGGTTTGAGACCAGCCTGAGCAAGAGCAAGACCCAGTCTCTAAAAATTAACGAGGCATGTGGCAGGTGCCTATAGTCCCAGCTACCTGGGAGGCTGAGGCAAGAGGATGGTTTGAGCCCAAGAGTTGGAAGCTGCTGTGGGCTATGATGCCACAGTACTCTAAAAACAAAACAAACAAAAAAATGAAGCAGGATGTGAGAGCCGAAAACAGGTTTGACCACGCACAAAGTTTCCAACAAGGCAATTAAGTCTATTGGTCCCTGCAGGGCAGACAGGCTGAAGCCACACCCTTATCGGGAGCAGGGTAGAAAGAAGTTTCTCTTATCTCAACCCTAAGAAGTTGTTTCTCTTTTCAGAGAGCCTGTTGTCCCCAGAGACCTTTGTACAGGCTATCTATAGGGGAAAGGCCAGGCGTCAGTAAGACATTTCTTGTCCTTTATTCCAAGGCCTGTGCTGCTGTTGATCAGCAGAATTTGAGGGCTCCTGATACACATCGTGGTCTCCCTGTGTACATACTCTCTTCAGTATCCACATCTTCTATCTTTCCTGTATCCAATTTCTTACAAACTGCATCCCCTAATTCTCATCAATTAAAACATTTCATAAAAATGCAATTTATGTTGTACCTCAAGAGGGCGCCCTCCTCTGAGCCTACTTCAACCTTGTGCTCCCACATTTCCACCCACTATGCACCCTGGAACCTGTGTGTGGGAACCTGTGTGCATTGTCACTGAGCTCATGGCCAAGGGCGGCCTGTGGGACCTGCTGCGGGCGAGCATGAGTGAGGGCAAGGTTCTCCCTGGAAGCTGCAAGAGACGTACAACAGGCACTGTCTCGCTTAAGAAAAGACTTAAAACATAAGAAGCCCACTATTTGCCCATTGTAAAGATTTGAGAAAATACAGATAAGTACAAGCAAGGACCTCACCTCTGCAGCCACCTCTCTTCCTGGGGCGTGCTGGTATTAGAGTTTGCACAGGCATGGTCTCGTCCACGCACACTTTCACATGTGCAAGGAGCGCACTGACCACCCACATGCACACTTACACACCCATGTGCACTGACATATGCACCTATACACACACACACACACACAGGCACATATTTATATGGACGTGTCCACAGATTTACGCATACACACATACACAGTGACTCAAAGACTCTGTCATCTCTGAGGAGCTCCATTATTTCCTTAAATATCAGAAGCAAAGACGCTCTGCAGTAATTGTGAAGATGTGGCCAGTTCTGGGGATGTTAATGTGGCAGGAGATGCTGCAGTGTCAGGTGAACAAGGTCTCGTCTGTACCTGAGGACAGGTGCATGTGCATCTGGCTGACATTCGGAACACCCTGAATGTGGCCATGTAACCAGAGTGGTCGTCATTGTGGTCATCACAAGCAGCATCCACATGTTCTTTTGGTGTGGACTTGGGTCTCACATGCCGCCACATCTCAGCCTTGTCCTGTTACTGAGCCGCTGTGGGTTTCCAGCAGAGCTGATGATGCTTGTGCCCACCACAGGGTATCGGCTCTGTGTGCTGTTCTTTGACTCTCACATATACATGCCTTGCAAGAGAGCTGTGGCCTGACCACTGTTGCAGTTTCAAATCCAGCCAGCTGGCCCTGCTGACCCTGGCCTCTGCTGCCCTCTGCAGACTCTGGCAGGAAAGAGCTGGTGGATGTGGCCCCACAGGTGGCTGAGGGCATGTGCTACTTGGAAGCGCAGAGTCACATCCATTGGCTGCCAGGAACATCCTTGTTGGGGAAAACAATGTCTGTAAAGTCAGAGACTTTGGACTTGCTGGGGTCATCAAAGCACAGCCCATACTCTGCCCTGAGACCTAGGTTGAGCAGAGAGGTGGGATGCTAAGGTGGGACGCTGAGCAGTCCAGTTGAGGGATGTGTTCCTAGTGGTGTTACAACTGTAGCTGTGGGCAGACAGCAGGGCTCTGTATGCAGCCACCCAAGCCCCTGCCTCTGATGCAGCCCAGGGGCTCCCGTTTCCTGCCCCTGCCAGTGCTCCCAGCCTACCCCTAGCAGTGTGGGCAGCAGCTCCCTCTGTGGCAGTAGAACGGCTGCCACAAGTCAGGCAGTGGCTTCCATGCCCAGGTGGTGCCCAGCCACCTGTGTCCGTCTGAGTGCAGGATGCCTACCTTTCACAGAACCACAACATTCCCGGAAAGTGGGCAGTGCCCGCAGCTCTCTCACAAGGGCACTGCCCACCAAGTCTGACGTGTGGTCCTTCAGGGTTCTCCTCCATGAGACACTCAGCATGGGTCAGCCAGATGCCCTACCCAGGTGCGGCCAGCACAGTGTCCCTGACCTTGTGCAGGTCATTGGAGGGGAGTGAGGAAGGGGCTGCATAGATGGTAGGACTGGCACCCCTCACTTCTGCCTGGGGCTGCCCCCTGGACTCACTTCCAGAGATAGGCATTGGAAGCAGTGCTAGGAAATGCCCAGGGCAGGCAGCAAGCTGTGAGGAAAGTCTCCTTAGGAGGTGGCAGGTAGCTGGGTGGGCTTCCTGGGGTGGTGGTGGCAGGTGGCTGGGTGGGCTTCCTGGGGGTGATGGCAGTGGCTGGGTGGGCTTCCTGTGTCAAGCAGCAGGTGGGCACTAGCTTGTTCCTCAGCTCCTCTTAATCCACCGGTCGCAGGCATGTCTAACCAGGAGGAGTTCCCAAGGGTGGATGAGGGCTACTTCGGGCCCTGCCCACCGGAGTGCCCACCCAGTGCACGAGCTGATGCTCTGGGGCTGGTGCAGGGACCCTGAGCTGTGGCCTTGCTGTGAATCCCTGCAAGAGAAGCTGCTCAGCCTTGGTAGGTATGAGAATCTGCTCTGAGCTGCCTCGGAGGTGACACGGCCAAGCCCAGAAGAAGAGAAGCCTGGACTTCGGATGTGGGCGCAGAGCAGTGAATGGAGCACACTTGAGTTGAGTAAATGTGTATGCTTCTGTCTTGTTAATCTGTCTTTTGATGTTTAGGCCTCAGCCGTGCAGCAGGTGAGGAAAAGATGTCACTTTTTCTCTCCTACAGTTTCTGATGCCCAGCGAAGGGTGGCTGAGACACCCGGATTGTTCTGGGGCCTGCAGATGAGATCATGGGACTACTGATGTAAAGCCAGTGGAAGGAAAGATTTCTCACCTTGGTCAGCCCTCCTGAATCTCCATCTGCAGAGCCCTGTTAAGAGAGGAAGGTAAAACTTCTTGTTCCTTTTCCAAATACAGACTAGCAGTAAAAAATCATTCAGATTGTTGACTCTTATGTAAATTGGTTTGTCATACCCACTATCCTTTCTGTCCCAGGGATACCTGTTTCTTCCTACTCGTACTACATTGTCCTGAGAGCATGGCTTATGACAAGTGAGAAGACTGAGGGGCAGGTCAGCCTAATTGGACGCTGGTGCCCAGCAGCCAGTTGAACAGGCTGGAGCCTGTGCGTTCTTTGTCGGCCTGTGCCAGTCATCAGGGGAGTTTGCAGTAAGAGGCCCCTGTCCCCAGAGGCTTTTGTCTCACCCACTGTTGCTCAATAGGGCTGGAAAGCACCTGTTCCCACCATGGCTGCCTGCTGGGGGTTCTGGGCCTTGGCTGGGCTGCATGTTTCTGTGTTCTCTTCAAAAGATATCTCCTTTGTCTATGGTTAAGTCATAAAAGGCATATTGGTTTTGGTTCTGAGTCACATAAAGTATTTTTGGTATAAGGGAATAAAAAAAGTTCAGTGCTGCCAGGAATAATATTTACTGTTGGTTCCAGTTGAAACCCAATAATAAGACATTTGAGTTTTTTTGAGACGGGGTCTTGCTCTGTCTCCAGACTGGAGTGAAGTAGCATCATCTCAGTTCACTGAGCCTCAAATTCCTGGCCTCAGGGGATCGGCCTGCTTGGACCTCTCAGAGTGCTAGGATTACAGGTATGAGCCACCATAGGATATTTGGAAGAATTATTTATAAAGAGCTTTATGGTCAAAAGTTGGCCTAATTGGAAGTTGACAGTCAGGCCATATTTAATTTTTAAGGCCTTTCTTGTCCCTTAGATCCTCCTTTTCCCAGGGGAGTCTCAGTCAGCAGGAACACTTTCTCCAAACCCTGTGACTAGACATGCCTCTGACTCTGTCCACTCTGTGCTGGAATTTCCTAGCCCTTGGGAAAGTTTCAGGTCTCCCTAAACTGGCCCTTCTGAGGCCTTTTCTTTTCACTGGCCTCTAACACTACCACTTCTTAGCCAACCTTCATCCCCCACCCAGCCAGCTCTTGGGATTCCTTGGTCTGTCTGTTGCCAGAAAGCCTGACCCCTGATCCCACCAGAGCCTTCCCCAGCCCCTTAGGCACTGACCTCTGGGCTCTCGCTCTCTAGGACTCAAGGTCCCCCAAGGCAGCTACCTGAACCAAAGGGACAAAGTGAAACAGAACATGATGAAGCTCAAGGAGGGAAAATGAACCCACCATCTCAGAGTGACCTCTGACAACAGGCAAAACCCCAACTCCACATGGAGAAAATGTCTTTCTCTGCCTCTGAGACATAAACTTTCTGTTCTGACTCCTCTATAATCCAAGTCATCTTCTTAAAATACAAACTGCAGGGAGATAACTGTTATCAGAAAGAAAAAAAAAAGAAGGATTTGGAAACTGGGAAAATGAAAAGCTTTAGTCATCTGAATGGGTAATATTAACTTATCCTGTTTTGCCAGAAATACAATTTGGATAAAAGTAGAAGTGGAGATAAACTTGTGTGTTTATATTCCTATACTCTGCTGACTCATGAATAAAAGTTTTAAAATGAAAGAGATAAGATTTGTTTGCACCTGACTGTGTATTTATATATTGGTTATGTATATATGGGTGTTTGTATTATGTACGTAAAATATTTTTCTATCTTCAGATGGTATTAATAAATTAATTTATAAAATACCTTTAAACAGTTCTGTTCAGATTGGTTTAGAGATAGATAAGGGCTTGTATAAAGTAAATATTCCTAAAACTCTCAGAAATACAGAAACTAGGCTTGGCGCCTGTAGCTCAGCAGCTAGGGTGCCAGCCACATACACCAGAGCTGGTGAGTTTGAATACAGCCCAGGCCAACTAAACAACAATGACAACTGAAACCAAAAAATAGCTGGGCACTGTGGTGGGCACCTGTAGTCCCAGCTACTTGGGAGGCTGAGGCAAGAGAATTGCTTAAGCCCAAGAGTTGGAGGTTGCTGTGAGCTGTAACACCACAGCACTCTACTGAGGGTGACATAGTGAAACTCTGTCTCAAAAAAAAAAAAAAAAAAGAAAGAAAGAAAGAAATACAGAAAACTAAGCCAATTTTTAAAAACTTTATAAGATCTTGGATAATCTTTGGTAAGTGAAGTTTTCAGATTGTTGGTAAAATTAAAAATAGGTGGCTCGGCGCCTGTGGCTCAAGCAGCTAGGGCGCCAGCCACATACACCTAAGGTGGCCAGTTCGTAGTCCCAGCCTGGGCCCGCCAAACAACAATGATGGCTGCAACCAAAAAATAGCTGGGCGTTGTGGCGGGTGCCTGTAGTCCCAGCTACTTGGGAGGCTGAGGCAGTAGACTCACTTGAGCCCAGGAGTTGGAGGTTGCTGTGAGCTGTGATGCCATAGCACTCTACCCAGGGGGATAGCTTGAGGCTCCATCTAAAAAAAAAAAAATAATAAAAATAGGTATGAATTCAGAATTGTCAGCATCAAATATAATGGAGATGCACATTATTTTTCTAGCTAGGTTTAGTAGTCTAACCAGCTTGTGTTATTTCTACTAAATGTTTAGGATCATAAGACTGTAAATGCAGCCAAGAGCACCAAGCGCAGTGAACGCATCACTGCGTCAATCGCAGGAGAGAGAGTAACCAACTTACTTGTGAGTTCCTTTGCTTCTGAGATAATTGCCGTGATTTGCCAACAAGAAAAATGGCTCAGGATGATTGGTTTAATGCTTCATGAAATTTTCACAAGCACTTCAAGCATGACTGTTAAAAACAAGTGAATTAGGTGAACATAAGTGGGATAAAAGTTTATAAATGAACTTCTAACTAATAATTATGTTCTGTAAAATGTGTCAATGTAAGTTTTCTCCAACACGCACCTGGTGAGGTGCTGCGCAAGCACTCGCCGCTCCCTTGGGCTGGGGCAAGCAGTGGCCAAGCGGGTAGCATGTGTGGCAGGAACATGGCCCTGTGGGTAGTCGCTGGCTAAGGCTGAGAAGCCCTTGAGGAAATGACAGAAACTAGGCTCACTGTGCTGAGACATATGGGCACCAAGAGCAGCTCCACACACTGGGAGAGCTGGGCCTCAAGCCTCACTGCCAGACCTGATAGGAATAGAAGAAATAATCTCTCTGAGGATGACAATATGCTTTTGGAAAGTATTGACTGGACAGAAGGCACATATAATCAACATTTTCAGAAGTACTTATCACACAGGAGACTAAAGCATTTTGGTTATGAATCACACAACAATGAGGGTAAAGACATTTGTGACTGCATTTTGGAGAACTGGTTGAAGAAAAGTTACATCAAACATAAGCCTAAATAACTGGCCATAAGTCAGTATAGAGCTGGGTGTGGAATCCCCTCCTGCTGACTCACATCAGCTTTTAAGGATGAGATCATTTCTCCCTGTTTGGGGTCAGAGATTGTCAGGAATTTTAAGCACCTTATTCTACCTCATCAGAGTTTGCGGGTGCTGACAGGAGAGTCCTGACCTCGGACAGGGCTCCATGGAATGTGGCTATGACATGTGCCACTTTGCTCACTTCCTACTTTTCACTAGAAATTACTGCTACTAAGAGTTAAAAAACCATGACACACACACACACATATAATTTAAGCTACTAGAAATAGTAAAGGAAACAACTTTGCATGCAAAAGTACATAAGGAAAAGGAAATGTCTTTTCGGTGAGGAAAGTTAGGAGGTATGAAGGGTAAGGAGGTGGTTTCCTGCTACAGAAAAGCAGCACCTGGGTCAGAGCTAAAGCAGGATGACTGGGTCCTCCAGAAGCAGGGAAAGAAAAATGCAGGAAGAGAAAAGAGCAGGTGGGTATTAAGAAGGGACCGTAAATGGTTTGTGGAAAAGGAATCTTACTTGCATAGTGAACGCAGACTGAGATTGGCTAGATTTATTTCGGAAAATCTGCTAAGAAGCATTAGCTTTTTAGTGTTCATAGTATATGGATGCAAAACTAGAATTTGGTAATATGAAAAGTTTTTATCTTTTAAGTGACGTGACCAGAAACGACAGTTTGGTGCTTCCCGGTGTCTCTTGTGCCCCATCTTCTCTCTTATCAGGTCTTCGATCACTTTAGAGAAGCTGAGTCTCCTCAGCATGAAAGGAGCCAAGTTTTGTTCACAAGTATGTAACCCACTGTATTTGCCTTTAAAATTTTTTATTTTCACTTTCATTAAATAACCAACATGATATTTAATCAAGCTTTAAAAACTTCTTGATGATTTTTATAACTTCCTAAAATTATAAATTAAGTCTTTTGACCATGAACTTTGGGAGTTTCTAAGAATTTGTTGCCCACCATGTAAAAGAGAGATGTTAAATTAGGCTTAATTTGATATGTTAAATTACATGGGAAACATTTTGAAACAATAAGTAATGCCAACGCTGCTTGAGGTTATCTTTCTGGGTGTTACTGATGAGTGTTGCACAAAGTATAGAAAAGTCCTAGAAATCTAACATGCTGGCTTGGCGCCTGTGGCTCGAGTGGCTGAGGCGCCAGTCACGTGCACCTAAGGTGGCGAGTTCAAATCCAGCCTGGGCCCGCCAAACAACAATGATTGCTGCAACCAAAAATAGACAGGCGTTGTGGCGGGTGCCTGTGGTCCCAGCTACTTGGGAGGCTGAGGCAGTAGACTCGCTTGAGCCCAGGAGTTGGAGGTTGCTGTGAGGCTTGAGGCTCTATCTCAAAAAAAAAAAAAAAAAAAAGAAGAAGAAGAAAAAGAAAAAGCATTTCCTTAAATCTGAAAAATAAAACATTAAAGAACTAGTAATGTTTCAAAAAGTCATACAAAATTATCCTCATCAATCCATTGATTGCCATGTAATTAAATCTTGTTCTAATTGTCAGGATAGCAGTTTCATGAGGCCATCAGGTTCTTCATTAAAATTCTGGAAATCCTTACCCAGCCCAAAGGTGCGATCTCAAAGTTACCAGAAACCTGTATCCAGTGTCAAGAGTCTTTTCCATGGATCTTGAAGAAACAATTCAGGACTGCAGCTGATTGCAAACACTTCCATAAGATAACCTGGTCTCTGGGGCAGGCAACATTTTAACATAACCAAAATTATGACTGGTAACATTGTACTAGATTTCTAGGAACAATGTCTGTAGGCTACATCTCATAGGATAGCATGTTAGATTTCTTTTTTGAGACAGAGCCTCAAGCTGTCCCCCTAGGTAGAGTACAATGGCATCACAGCTCACAGCAACCTCCAACTCCTGGGCTCAAGCGAGTCTACTGCCTCAGCCTCCCAAGTAGCTGGGACTACAGGCACCCGCCACAATGCCTGGCTATTTTTTGGTTGCAGCTGTCATTGTTGTTTGGCAGGCCTGGGCTGGATTCGAACCCACCAGTTCTGGTGTATGTGGCTGGCGCCTTAGCCGCTTGGGCTACAGGCGCTGAGCTGCTTTCTCTTTTTCTTAAACTATCTATAAAGCTTACAGCAATTTGGTAAAGTATAACTTTGCAAACAAGGTGAAATATTTCTTTCTTCCTATCTAGTCCCTCCAGAATTCAGAAACTATTAGTCAGTGTTCTTTTCATGGCAATATACAGTCATTTGCATGAGTTCAATAAGAATCTCAAGGACACAATTGGAAGGAAACACTGATTAGGCCACCAAGGGTTTGATTGGGATGTCATATTTTAGATATGACCAAACAACTTTAAGGAGTCCATGAAGCCAAACAACAGACCTCCTACCTCATATTTGGTCTTACAGAGTGGGAAGTGATGTCAATTCCTGACTGGTATGAGCAGGAACCTTAAGATACTTCAGGGACTTCAAGAAGGCAGAAATTTACCCACATCAATGGGGATTACAGGGAAAGTCTGGCTTGGTTTCCTAGCCCCAAGAAGCTTTCAAAGTCTATCCCAAGATTCCTTTCTTTTTTGAGACAGAGCCTCAAGCTGTCCCCCTGGGCAGAGTGCCGTGGCATCACAGCTCACAGCAACCTCCAACTCCTGGGCTCAAGCAAGTCTCCTGCCTCAGCCTCCCAAGTAGCTGGGACCACAGGCATCTGCCATAATGCCTGGCTATATTTTGGTTGCAGCCGTCGTTGTTTTGGTGGGCCCAGGCTGGATTTGAACCCGCCACCTTAGGTATATGTGGTTGGCGCCTTAGCCACTTGAGCCACAGGCACCGAGCCTATCCCAAGATTCCTTATCAAAAGTTCCAGCAAAGCAAACTTTAAAAGAGCCTATGTGGTTAATTACTATTCTTGCTGCACTTACATAAAAAGTTAGAACAAGTTTAATGTGTCAATTGTAGAGAGAAAAATTGTTTCACATATAAAAATGTAGTGTACCTGGAATTAGACACTAGGCCTGTCCAGTGTTCTTGAGGTCTGCTTCTAACCTGTAAACTGGACTGGTTCCTGAATGCTAGTTTCTTCTGATATCTGGTTACAATTCTCCAAACTAATATTTCCAATTTCTTTTCCACCTTTTTGGCTCAGGATTGATGACTAGAGATTAAAATTGCTCTTTTCATAGCCAGCCATGAGCCTGTAGCCTCAGCTGCTCAGGCGGCTGAGGCAGGAGGATCATTTGAAAGCCCAGGAGTTGGAGGCAGCAGTGAGCTAGGCTCATACTACTGCATTCTAGCCCAGGTGATATACTGAGACTCTGTCTCAATGAATAAATAAGTAAAACTGCCTTTTTCCTGATGCCCTGCAAGCTGACACTGGACAACTTGATACAGGCTTCAGAGATCACAACTCACATATGGTCAACCTTTGTGACTTTCAAACTGCAAATGCAAAAACACTGTCAGGGTGCCACTACCTGTCCTGAAGATGCTTTTGGTCCCACATTGAGAATCTCAACCAGGCGGCTGCCTTCTACACTAAAAAACCGAGTTTACAGTTTGTTCTAATCATTAGCCTTTTTGTTTTGTTTCCACAGAAATGCCTCTTTGAGCGACCACACAGGCCTGGCTTTGGTGGATGCCCACTTGCAACGCAGCCTCCTCAACTGAGCTGCTTTTTTTTTTTTTTTTTTTGAGACAGAGCCTCAAGCTGTCCCCCTGGGTAGAGTACCGTGGCATTACAGCTCACAGCAACCTCCAACTCCTGGGCTCAAGCGAGTCTCCTGCCTCTGCCTCCCAAGTAGCTGGGACCACAGGCGCCCGCCACAACGCCCGGCTATTTTTTTGGTTGCAGCCGTCATTGTTGTTTGGCGGGTCCGGGCTGGGGATTCGAACCCGCCACCTTAGGTGTACGTGGCTGGCGCCTTAGCCGGTTGAGCTATAGGAGCCGAGCCAACTGAGCTGCTTTTAACTGTTCCCCTGGACTGACCTCTTTCTGGGTCTGGAGGATGGGTCAGCCCACATGGGACAATCTATCAACCCTGCATTTGGGCTGTGCCACCTCCTGGGGAAGTCAGAGGCGGGATGTAGTGGTGCAGGGAACATGAAGTGGGAGCCACTCTTGCCTTCCCCTCACCCTTCCTCCCTGGAGCAGCCCACAGAACCCAGAAAGGGACTGCTCTGCCCTCATCCCTCCTCACTCCCCTGAAGACCCTCATGGCAGGTGTCCTACCCTACACCAGAAGGAAGGCCACACCGGGGACCAAGGAGAAACTCAACACACAGGCACTGCTAAGCTCCCCTAGTTTATTACCATTAGATTTCACTTTTTCATCCTCTAATCATACCACTTTCTATAAAATGCACAGATCTCCCCATTTCTTTGGACACTATTTCACATATTAAACATACATCAAATACATTGCTATTTTTGTTAGTCTCTTTTGTTATAAAGGTCTCAGCCATGAAGCTTGTGGTGGGTGAGGAAAAGGTAAGTCTTCTCTCTCCAGAGAGCTTGATAAAGATGCAGCCCCTAGGGTCAGGCTGGTCTAGACCAAGGGCACTGCCAGGGGAGCAGCTCCTCTAGGGAAGCCACTCTGGCTGTGGCAGAGGAAGTGGGCCCTCCAAAGACAGCAGCTCTGGGAAGTGCTACGCCAGGGCGACACAGGGCTGACAGCGGGACTGATCCTCTAGATGCAGGCCAGGTCCTCCCCTAGCCATTCGTGGAGTCTCCTAGGCTTTGGCTGGGCTCTCTCTGTTAACACCAGCAAACCCCCAAGCTCTGAGTGGGGCTCATGTCCCCTTTCAGATACTACCCAACCTGGGACCACCTGAGGTGGGAAACAGCACTCCATCTCCCAACTTTAACACTGACCACCTGGCTTTGGGTGCCTAACTGAAGCTGACTTACCCTGAGAACAGGTGCGGGGAGGCTTGGCTCTCAGTGGCCACAGCCACACAGATGAATCCCTATGGACTTGTGCAACTATTTACAGCACAGTTGCCTGCTGGCCATTCGAAGTATGTGGACACAGCCAGCTGACTGCTTACCTTGGTTAAAAACACCTATCCCAAGAGCTAACAGCCCCTGCAGAGCCCTGCCCCTGCAGCCCTATGCTGGATGCTTGGCTTTCTGCTTCCAGGTACCCCACACACCATCTGTCCTTCTCAGCTCCCACACCTGCCCCTGACCTATTGAGCCGGGCCACCTATAGCAGGAAGGCCCCTACCCCTAAGCCTGTCTTGGGTGCTCCCAGGGTTGGGGGCAGGACCCCTTTGAGACAGCCCCTTGAAACTGCTCCAGGATAGCTGGGAGGGACAGTCCCCTCAAGGGCTCCCAACCCGCCAGGCAGCCATAGGGGGCCCATCCTGAGTGGGTGCCCTGGAGGCATCCTATCCAGCTTCAAGACTGCATGGTGCTGTAGTCCCCCAGGAGCCACAAGGCACCCTCTGCTTCCTGGGCCTAGGCTGGAGGGGCCCTGCAGTGCGGAAGGCTTGGCCAAGAAGGGGTGGGGGTTGGGGGGATTGGGGGGAGGGCTCACCAACTTCTTAAAGACCCTTGGGGCCACATAATTCATGCACACACTACCAGAGGTTGCTGGCTGCTTGGAATTTATTTGCCACTTGGTGCAAGGTGAAGAGTTACAGGGTGCCAGGAAAGCTGTGTGTGCCCGTGGGCAGTACAAGCCGGGGCTCTGGCTGCCTCTGCCGTCTGAGAACTATCTTCTCTCTGGTGTCCTGCAGCCTGGTTGCAGAGTTGGTGGCTGTGGCTCAGGGCTCATGTCAGGATGGGGGCCCAGCACTGGGCTGGCCGCAGGGCTGCTTCCTCATGGCTTCTAGGGCTAGGCCACTGGTGGTCATGTTTCTGGAGGCCTGGGGAGCTTCGGGGCTGGGGGAGAGCATGGGTCAGAGACTATATTACCACCACGGCCCCTGCACCCCCAGGGAGGTGGACTCACTGCTCTGGGGACTCCACAACTGGGGCCATGAACGGGAGCGTGGACTTTCCGAAAAAGAAGCTCGCCCACCAGTGACCCGGGTCAGCCTTGGGCAAACCTGGGAGAAGCAAGGGGGGAATCACAATGCCGCCCGCTTCGAGGGTGTGGTGGGGTGGTTCTGGGGCCTCAGGGAGCGAGGGCGGGGCGCACTCACCCGGGTGGTGGGCGATGGCTTCTCCAGGGCACTCGGTGCTCCCACAGGAGCTGCTGCTGGAAGCTGAGCCCAAGCGGCCTGGAGGGGAGAGGCCCAGTCAGCGGAGCGGAGCCTCCAAGCCACTGGCTCAGGGGCGCGCTGGGGGTTCCCCCGGGCGACGGGGCATCGCAGGAGCGGGCCCGCAAGAGGTCTACTCACGCCGGTAGTAGTCGTGGGTGGCCACGAGCGAGCCGCCGGAGGGGATGGCCGCCATGCTCTGGCCGGCCGGCTGGTGGGAAGCTGGGCGCAGTAGGGAGCCCTGTGGTCAGCGGGCAGAGCTCGGGAAGGGAGCCCCCGCCCATGGCCCGCCGGGTCCGTCCGCCGATTCCAGGCGGAGCTCGCGATCCTGGGGCCGCCTTCGCCGTGGGCGCGGGCGGCTCCAACCGGCCCGAACTGGCCGCTCAGGCGGAACAAAAGCGCTTTGTGCGCCGGGTCCCGCCTGGGCGCCAGCAACCGGCCCAGACCACTGGCCGCAGAGCGCGTCCCAGACCCCGCGCCCCTGGCAAGCCAACCCGAGAGCAGTGCCCGGCCTGCAGCCCGCCCTCCGTCCCGTCCGGCCCTGGACCACGGCCTCGCCCGTTCCACCCACCAGCCGCGTGGGCCCTTACCTCGGCGGCGACCCCTCGCGGGCCTCGGCGCGCGATCACTGGCGGCAGGGACCGGGCGCTAGGCCGCGGAGCCCATTGACAGACCCGAAGAGACCACTCGACCACCCAGACGCACACGCGCGAGATGCGCAGGCGCGGACGTGCCCCCTCTGACGCGCCAGGCCACCGCTTGTCACGGGGGGCGGGGCGCCACGGCCCCGCCCGACCCCATTAGGCCCCGCCCGCCCCGCCTCAACCCTAGGGGGGCTCGGTGGCCTAGCTCCAGCTGAGCTCCTGCTCCGCGGCGTTTGTTCGCCTGTGGCGGTCTAGGAAGCGCGTCGCGGCCTAGCCCGGTTCCAAGTGGTAGCGGCTGTCTCTCCTCCGCCGGGCCAGGGTCCCATTCTCAGACCGGGCCCAGCCTGGCAAGCTCATCTCGAGCTCTCTGGCCACGTGAGGCGCGCTGGCCCCAGCGCTTCGCGTGCGCGGTGCTGCCGCCCGCCGCCCGCGCCGAACCCCGCAGCCCAGCCTCTGCACTCCTTAGTGCCCCCTGCAGCCTGCCTCTCACCCAGACAGGTGGGGTGCGCTTGCTTGTGCGCGCCCCTCCAGCCCATCAAGGGTCTCTGTGGCGTCCCCCTGTCTCCAGCTGTGGGCACTGGGTGGGTACCTAGAGGCGCTGTGTGCCTAGAGACTTCCAGCCTGCGTTTCCCTCGGGGCTCTGGTGGCCCTGAAACCTTCAGCTTGGTCCTCAGCCCCAGGCAGCACCCAGCTAGGGTGCTAGAGGGGAATGGAAGGTGGGGAACAGGCCCAGAAAGAGGCTTGTTTGGGTGGATGTGGGTCCGGGATGAGTCTCCAGTCGAGAAAGGCAGAGGGAGGCCTCCTGTTTGGGGGACCCCAGAAAGTCCCTGGCAGGTGCTTGGGGCCTTGGGGCCTTGGGGATGGCCTGCCACACCCTGGCTGTCCACCAGGAGGAGTGCCTCCCCGTCCCTGTAGGCTCCTTCCGCCACAGGGAAGAAGTCGCCAACCGAGCTGGAAATTCGGTTTCTTTACACATGGGTCTTGGCTGGGTGGTGCCTTCCCTGTGGTTGAGAGGAGCCAGGATGCCCGTGGGGACAGCTAGACTGCAGGGCTTCTCTAATCAGCTCTGGTGGGTGTGATGCACATGGAGTTGGTTGTTCCCAGCAGCTGGGATGGCTGCATGCTTGCTGGCTCTGCACTGGGGGATCCTTGGGAGACAGGGGATAGTGCCTTCGTGGTGCGGAGAATCGTGTGCTGAACCACATCTGAGCTGTCTTCCTGTGCAGGGGCCAGTCCAGCAGCTGAAAGGGAGAAGGGGCTGTCAGGTTTAAGCTACTGTCTAGGATATAGCCTGGGGGAGAGCAGAGGGTGGGCACCCTGGGACATGGTTCTCAGGCCATGGTAGGAGAGGCACACAGGGTCACTGAAGAGGCAGATGGGTCAGGCCAGTTGACACCAGGAGGGTGGGACTGTTTTGGCAAGAGCCAGGCTTGTCTTGGCTGCTTGAGCTGCAGCTCTGAAGACCCCTTGCCTGGACTCCTGTGTTTCTGGGAGCTCACATGGACCTCAAATGAATGTAGCTGCAGGGTCTGAGGCTGGAGAGGCCAGTTCAGGACCTTCCCAGTACCTGTCCAGCACCTGACAGTACAACGGCCTCAGGAGAAGACCTCAGACGATTTCTACAGCCCTGGAGGTGGGGTTAGGGCTCAGAGGGAAGTGTCTAGTCAAATCCTAAGCATAGCAGTTACTCAACAGGGGCACAGCTGGCTAGGGCAAGGGCTGGTGCCAACCCTTGGGGGCCTGGACAGGATATAAAGTGCTGCCCCAGGGTGGGTGGTGTGGGAGGACAGTTGGGTCAGTCCCCTAGAGCAGACCCATTGCATGGCGGCTCTGAGTTGAAACAGCTGGGATTCGGGGGCTACTCTGGAGAAGGGAGCTGGCTTAGGGATCTATGAGAATACAGGGCTGCCTGGCCTTTTGCTGGGGGAGCTCAGGACTGGACACTGGCTCTGGCCTTGCTGTTGTTGCTTCTAGATGGGACCCACCTCCCCATTCATTCAGTAGGCCCCACTGTGTGCCAGGTGCAGCATGAGGACTGTGTGCAGAGCTGGGTTGGCTGGGTAGGCCCAGCTGCCCGTGTGCAGCTCAGGACTGAAGGCTGAGTAAATACAATCTCAGCACTAGAGCAGGGAGGTGCTCCTGATGGCAGCACAGCATATACAAAGGCCCTGGGGCTTGTTATGGGTGTGGGGAGGTTGGGGAGCAGAGTAGGTGTTGCCCCAGTGCTTTCTGGCCTGGGATGTCCTGTTCTAAGGCTGTGGCAGTGCCTCCTACACCCAGGCTCACAAATGGGGCAGGTCCTGGATGATTCCCAGTAGGCCTGAGGGTCTGTCCTTCCCTTGGGCCTCCCTGGCTGGCTCAGGCCCAGGAAGCTGGGGGACAGGAGAAGAGGAAAGGGGCTGGCTATAGTCCTCTGACTCACCACTTAGTGCAGCAGACTTGAGAGCTCTCCCTAGAGGTGGAGAAGCCATGGAGCCTATGCCCCTTACACAGGGTCGCCCCCACCCTCTGGATGGAGAAGCCTTGACCATCACAGAAGAGACTTCAGAGCTGCCCAGGGCACCTCCAGGGGGTGCTCTGGACTCTCCTCTCTAGCTTAGAGCTCCAGCTTCATGGGATGGGCTTGGTGACCTGTTGTTTCTCCTTCCATTTTCAAGACTCAGTCATCATAGTCAAGTGGCAACCATTAGGTACTATTTGATTAGATTGTGTTCCAGTCCCTGGGTACAGATGCATGCTGGGTTTGGACAGTGGCCAGAACCCATACCATCCTGTGTGACTGGGGTCAAGGTGGGTCTGGGACCCTTTAGGGAGCTGGGTGCTTGGCTGCCCACTGTGGCTACCCTGTGGAACTCCCTCCTGTGGAAGTGCGGAAGTGCAACAGGTTCTGGGGACAGATGCTGAGATGGGGTTTGGGGTACAGAATGTGTGTCGTGTGTCAGGATTCAGTTTCTGGGAAAGGAGCAGCCAGTGGGCTCCATCTTTGTGCCCCAGATCTAGCTGCCGGGGAAAGGGAGACTCAGGTGGGGTCCCCTCAGTGCTAAAGCTGGGATTATCCAACAGACTCTAAACCAGCTGTTGTAAAAATGCACAAATGAGTACCCTTGAAGATGTGTTCATGACGGGTCTGTCGGGAAAGCCAGAATAGGAAAGAACATCTTCAGAGGATGTGCTTCCAGCCAATGCAGAGCTTCCCCAGGATGCAGATCTGATGACTGCTCTTGACACGTCGTTCAGCATCTGCTGGGAGTCTTGGCCAGTAAAATAAAGAGAGAAAAACAAATTAGAGGCACACAGACTGGAAATGAAGAAATAAAACTGTCCCGACTCACAGGTAGCATGGCTGTCTACACAGGAATCCCCAAGGAATCTACAAGAAAGCTACTTAGGAATAAGTGGGGTTAGCAAGACCACAGGACATGAAGCCAACACACGCAGTCTACATTGTTCCTGTACACCAGCAATGTTCAGTTAGAACAAGGAATTCTAACTGAACTGTAAAAATGAAATGCTAATGGAATAATTAAAGACGACTTAAGTGACGGAGAGTCAAGTTGGGTTCAGGAGTTTCAGATTCGACATGTAATGATGTTGATTTTTGCCAAATTGATTTATAATTCCAATACAAAGCTCAGCCAGATTTTTTTTTTTTTGAGACAGAATCTCAAGCTGTCACCCTTGATAGAGTGCTAGGGTGTCACAGCTCACAGCAACTTCAGACTCTTGGGCTTATGCAATTCTCTTGCCTCAGACTCCTGAGTAGCTGGGACTACAGGCACCCAGAACATGCCTGGCTATTTTTAAGAGATGGGTCTCGCTCTGGCTCAGGCTGGTCTTGAACCTGTGAGCTCAGGCAATCCATTTTGGCCGCCCAAGTGCTGGGATTATAGGATTATAAGCATGAGCCACCACGCCCGGCCTTCAGCCAGATTTTTTAAAGATATAGAAAAGTGGATCCTACAATTGAGATGGAGAGACAAGTGAACAAGAATAAGACAATTTTGAAAATTAAGATTGTAGAGAAATTTTTCTATTGAGGTAAAATTTGCATATCATAATGTTAAACTTTGTAGGCTCGGCACCTGTGGCTCAAGTGGCTAAGGCGCCAGCCACATACACCTGAAGTGGTGGGTTCAAATCCAGCCCAGGCCTGCCAAAAACAACAATGACTGCTGCAACCAAAAAATAGCCAGGCGTTGCGGTGGGCGCCTGTGGTCCCAGCTTCTTGGGAGGCAGAGGCAGGAGACTCGCTTGAGCCCAGGAGTTGGAGGTTGCTGTGAGCTATGACGACACTCTACCAAGGGGGACAGCTTGAGGCTCTGTCTCAAAAAAAAAAAAAAATTAACCTTTGTAAAATGTACCATTCATGACATCATACAACATTCACAGTGCTGTGCAACCACCACCTTTATCTAGTTTCAGAATATTGTCTTCACCCCCCAAAGAAGCTCCGTCCCCCTGAGGCATCACCCCAGCTCCCCACTCACCCCCTTTCTGCTCTGTGGATTTTCCTGTTCTGGACATTTCATATACATGGACTGAGATACTATGTGGACATCTGTGTTGGCCTCTTTCACTCAGCATAGTGTTTTTAAGGTCCATCCACATTGTGACACATGGCTGACACTCATTTCTTTTTCTGTCTGAACAACATTCCACTGTATGGATATGTGGTATTTTGTTTATCCATTAATCTTGTGAGGGACACTGAATTGCTTAGCTCAAGTGGCTAAGGCACCAGCCACATACACCTAAGGTGGCGGGTTCAAATCTAGCCTGGGCCCACCAAAACAACAATGATGGCTGCAACCAAAAAATGGCCTGGCATTGTGGCGGGCGCCTGTGGTCCCAGCTGCTTGGGGGACGGAGGCAGAAGACTCGCTTGAGCCCAGGAGTTGGAGGTTGCCCTGAGCTGTGATGCCACAGCACTCTACCCAGGGGGACAGCTTGAGGCTCTGTCTCAAATAAAAAAAAAGTGTAAGGTATCTCGCTATGGATTCGATGGGCATTTCCCTAATGACCAGTGATGTGGAGCATCTTTTGTGTGCTTAGTGGCCATTTGTGTATCTTCTTTTTTTGTTTTTGTTTTTTGAGACAG